AATGATGATTAGTTTGAAGATCTGGGTCTCCCTGCCTCAGCCATCCTGGCTGGTGTCACCTAGCTCTGTTGTAGCTGAGAAAACCCTGTATGTAGCAAGCTACTTCATAGCTGGGCAAGAATCTGTCCTTTTCTAGGCTTAGGGTGGGAGTTTTAGCAGCCATTTAACTCTGCTTTTGAGGAATCAGAGATCTCTTACTTTGGTGGGAAAAAGCTCTAAAATTGTTTTCACGGTCACAGCAATTTTTAAGATAATTTATACTGTCACACATATATTGCTATGGAATAGTAATTACTACTTGATACAAAACAAAAAGATAGAACAAATACAGAAAAAGATTTATTTTTTTTTTGTCTTCTTACTCCTGACATCCAGTGATATCTCTTCCCTCAGTATATTTGTGAACTCTTATTATTGTACTGACTGCTTACCAGCTCAGTAGACAGAGTCCAGAAGCCTGCTGAATTAGGTAAGTGTATGGTTATTTTTAACTGAGTTGAACATTACACATTTGTATGGCATGTTGCGCAACAGATATACACTGTTATCATGACATTCTGTCCAGACACTTGTCCTAAATTTCAATCTAAATTTAACCTGATAGACGTAGAGCATAATAATTAAATGTCAGCCCTGCAAAACAAACCTATTGCATTATGATTTGAACTTAAAGGAGGCATAAACCTCTGGTCCTCTCTTATTCATGCTCAAAGCAGTCAGTGCCAAACAACAAAGCTTTCTCAGTGACAGTATAAATAATGGTTCCTTTGATTAGGGCTTCAGATACTGTATTTATTACATATAATTTGACAATACAGCAGAAACAACGTTGGGCAAATAGAGTTGATAGTTCAGTGTCCTTTAGCACAGTCCATTCTGGTTCTTTCACTGCTCTTGTCTGCACAGCAGCTGATGATATCCCAGGCCTGGCCAGCTCATTTGCTGGAGGAGGCCAGCATGGCATGGCAGGAGTCAGCATGGACCACTGCTTGTCCCCTTGCTTTGAGTTTCTGAGCCCCGTGGCAGCAAATCCACATCCAGTTGCGGTGGGCAGAAGCCACTTTCAGCATTCATCCCATGCCAGGCTGGAGCCTGTGTCTCAGGAATCAAAACCAACCACTTGTCCCTGTGTATGTGCCCAGGAAGGTCCTGCTCTGCCTTGCTGCTCTGGTAGCACCTACTAGCATTAGTTTAACTCCAACTATAGAAGTATGTAGAAAGTCATAATTCCTTGAACTTCATTGTGCTTCAAGTAATGGCCACTTCACAAGCTGCTGAATTTTGGCAGGGGTGTCTTTTGTTTTTTGAGGCTTGTTTATCTGTGGCAATAGTAAAACAAAACAGATCACTATCTAGAAAGCAATGAAACAGATCTTACTGCAAACAGCAGGCCCAATAGTTAGAAACAACTCAGTCTTAAAGGAATTAGAGGGTACCAGAGAAATGCATCAAAAGAGATTTTGTTCAAAAACTAGCCTAAGGGATTTAATGGAGGGGTAAACACCCCTTGTATGTTTCCAAAGACTGCTTTAATAAAAATGTGGAAAGGTTGTTTTCCATCAGAACTGATTTTACTTTTCTATCATTGTTGTTTTGGAGTTGATGTTTTTCCCAGGACCTTTGCTGTTCACAGAAGCTTGTGTCTCCTGTTGCTATTCTCATCCTCATGGTCCCCTGCAAAAGCCTTGGAGCAACCAAGGGCTGTATCAGGTTCTCTGAATTTTGTGGATTTTGTAAAGGTCAAGAAAAAGACAAATCTTTCATTAGAATTCTTACTAACATACATTATAACATAAGATAAATGATATTTGCACTGCAAAATGTAGCTAAATGATAATGTTTAAGCTTCTCCTCTTTCTCCAAAGAATGTGCATTTGTTTGTACAGTCTTTGGGTTGTATTCACTTCATATTAGCATTTCATGTTCTCTTTGACTGATTCCTTTTTCAGTTTGAGTCAGTGGATGTGACCTTATGATGAGATTTGAGGAAAGGCAGTGACTGCAGTAGCTGTGCCCTCTTCCAAAGCTCACTCTAAGGGCAGGTCTGGGTTGAGTCGTCAGATACCTGAAATGGGGCTTAGGATCTGGATACTGTGTGATCCCCTTTGTGCTCATGTCATATTTCCAAACGAGAGAGGACTCCATTTTGATTGTATCTGAAAGATAAATGTTATCTGCGAGGAGCCAATGTGCAGAGGTGGAAGTCATACACTGAGCTACAGTCCACCCTGATTCAGGATGTGAGTCAGCAGCCATTAGTGGGATGAATTCCTCCTGAAAAGGGAACTATGTTCTTAGTAGAGACACTTCAAAACACCTACATATTTCCAGCACTGAACTTGGGCAGCAGAGTCAGCAAGAAATAATGTATATTGTATTCCTTACTCCTGGACACGTGTGACATCCTGCATCTTCTCCCATATGAGTGCCTCTGGCTCCTTGCCTCTCTCAGAGTACTGTGGTCAAAGTAATCATTAGTTCTTGCAAAGGAAATCAAAACCATCTTCTCCTGTTGGAGTTTCTATCTTCTTGTTTGAACGTGGGTTGTGTAGCAGGAGGCACAGGAGAGTTGCTTTTGGTTCTGGTGTTTGTGTTTAATCTTGGGAGCGTCTGATGGAAGCAGAATATGATGGCAAAAGTACAGAGATGTGTGCCATAGGTCTGTGCTCTTAGTAAAATATGCCACAAAACATCTTGCTGTCTTTCTGCAATAAAGAACTTCAGACAACATACAACTAACAAGATAAGAGTTCCAGGTAATTGGTGCACAAAGCAGTACGCTGTTCTGTGGCAGAGTATCATGAGGATTTTCTGTCCAGGGACTGTTACTGTCAGAATTAATCAGTATTTTCTTCCTTTCAGAACAGCCATGCTTGAGCCAAGTGTTTGGATTCAGTAGAGTTAGTTATCACTGACAGTTATATAGGCTATGGACAAAAAATATAGTTTGTGCTAATGGTCATTCTCACCTGCATTTCATCATGTGAGGGCATATTGATGGCAGCTTGACATAGAATGAGTCTGTAACAAGATCATCAGTCTGCCAGGTGCACAAATGAATTTCTTTTTTTCACCAGTCTCAGTTGCCTGATTCAGTTGTGCAGCTTAGCAGAGCTGAGGGGCCTCTTAATTCAACTAATGGAGGTAGAGACTGAAAAAATCCAAAAATGAAGGAAATGTTAAATGTTATTTCCTAACATGGCTTCTGCTGGCTATTCGGGGGAAACACGAAGAATAAAGTGAATCTTGCTGTTCATTTCACCATTTGTTGTTTTCACGTTTGTCCTTCTTTGTCTTCTCTCATATTCAAATATCTTCCACCATGACCTGTTTGTGAGACCCTAGCTGACTCCCCACCAGCATGAGTTGGCTGTTTCCATAATTTTCTATTTAAAGAGAAAGCAAACAGATCTAATATGCAGTGTCTGAGTTTGAAATCTGTCTAGAAAACGATATAAATTTGTGTATTTATTTTTGCAGGTGACATTTTATAATCTCTTAGAAAGTCCTGGGGTTAAGCTGAAAATGCAGATCTATAACATGCCCCAGGGGAAATATTAGCAAATCTGAAGCAATGCTAATAAATCATGATGATTGCTATTTTTATGCTTTGAATGTGTTGTAATAAAGACACAACACTGTTTTATTGGGGAAAAAAAATCAATTCCCAAATGTATGATTTCATTCCTGTATAGTAATTTTTCTGTACTTCAAAATTCTATGAGGTCTTCCTTTGAGTATTTCACTGATACTAATTAAATAAGGTCTTATTCGGCAATGTCTATCCAAGTAGTATTATTGGCTTCCGTCTGCAAGGAATGTTGGACTCTTCTCTGAAGTTAATGCATTTGATTATTTCCACTTCATTACTGCACAAAATGAGACACAGAGGAGTTAAATGATTGACTTAAGACAAAAGGGAGAGTTAGTGGTATCTGGAAACAGATCTTCTGGAGTCCTGTGCTTTTACTGGAAAATGGTAAACAGCATTCATAGGGCCCCAAATATGTCAGAGGTGTACAGTGCTTTGCAAGGAAACCCAGGAATGTGGGAGGGAAGGGAGTTGCAGTGTGCTTGGTGTGAATGGCATGGGGAATCACCTGCAGCGTTTACAGCCATGGGACCTTGAGTCTCATATCTTTTTTCTAATCAAATGGTTCATCCTGGCAGACATAGACTCCCTTGCATGAATCTGCATCACAGTTTTGGCATTTTTCCTTGAGTTCAGTGGGACATCAAGCATGCCATGAGGATACCAAGGGTGTGGATCCAATGAGAGTCTGACAAAAGGCAAGCAGAAGTTAAATGTGGGAATATTCACTCCTGGTTTTAAGCCAAGCCTGGTTACAATCTTAAAGTAATATCAGGCGAAAAAAGTGCTGGGTGCCGGTTGAAAGTCAGAGATGGTTGGCTGACATCATCAAGGGCGTAAGAGTTTCACACCCTCTTGGTGATGACATCCAGGGCTTCTTTGCCTGCTGCAGTAACAGCTCAATGTCCTTAACTTTAGACAAAAAAACATCCCTAGCATTAGTTATGAGGAGCAGATGGTTTCTTAGGCAGCACGGAAAGGGGACGAGTCACGTACTGGCCATCCTGTCATGCCAAAGTAAGTTGGATCAAGGACCAAGCATGGAGAGGGAATGACACTGGTACTGAAAGACCCTACAAGCAAAGCAGGTGAGTTGGAAGGGATCATATATTAGTGGATGATATAGTCTTGATAAATTGGTTCCCTTCAAGATTGGTCTTGCTAAGCCTTAGGAGTGTTTATGTACTGAAAGTGTGAGCACAGCTAGCCTGAGGCTTGACCAGGTACTTGGAAAGGAAACCAGATCCATTGCAGTCTAAGACTTATTATCTTTATGTGCTATGTTTTGCCACAGGAATCAGTGAAGCAGGAGCTGAGGGAAAAAACAGGCATCATTTTGGTACTGTATTACAGTTTTTCTTCATTCATTATAATAGCTGGCAGATACATAGAAACTTTCCCAAAGTGAGTATTATGCCCACGCTCCAGCTAATCCAAGTGTCAGTTCTCCTGTATGTGCCGTTTTCTTATAGCTCATCCCTGGATGAATGCTATCTCTTCCTTGGCCAGCTTGCTCTCTGCTAGATGTGGGGAATATGGCTACCATTTCACATTTATGGCCTCAAGGAGTCTGAGAGAGGGTCTGTCATTCACATTTATGTGGTATAAGAGCACTAGTAAACCCTTACAAATACTACTTGGAACAGGTTTACAGCTGCTTTTGTCATCTTTTGGAATCCTTAAGTCTCAAACTTGCAGACTCAAAAATATACAAACCACTCTCTAAAACACCAGTAAATACCCATGTAAGGTTTGGCTGTCTTGTTTAACAATCAGCAGCTAAAAGAAAAGTAAATGGAGCCCCCTTCTCCCCAAGTAAGTAAAACTCTCCAGGACAACTCAAAATCATATGGCATTTTTTTTTTCTTTCTTTAGGTTCCAGAAACATGTCCATATATGGTCTACGTGTCCGGAACAATAAATAATGATGTAATAGAAAGGTCAGCTTTGTGTCACTTAGCTACAGGATGCTTGATGAAGTAAAGTTCTTCAGATAATGCAACAAAGAAGAACTTTAGGATGGGTAAAAGTTTCTGTCGTGCATCTTCAAGCAGGAAATCTGAGATTCAGAACAACTTACATTTTGGCTTGTATTCACTGATCATGGGGTGATCCAGAAATAAACTTCAGGCTTCAAAGCAAGACTGTTTCAAAGCTGTCCTGCAGTTGATTGAAACACCCAGGCAAAGCAGGGAGATGAAGACCAGGAAGGATATTCTGAATTAAGACTTAATCAAGAAGATAACCCATTTCAACAGTATTATTACCCTTTTATTTCAGAACAAAAAGGTAATGCAAATATGCCTGTTTTGAACTTGTTTAGCATTTTCAATCTGTCAGTTTGCTATTTCTATGTAAATATTTATTTGCATAGCAGTTTGTAACCTAACACCTTAACACCATGCACCCATCTTGGGAGGTTTTGTGGCTTGCCTTTGGTTTGGGTTTGGGATTTTTTATTTTTGTTTTTCAAAATGAGCCATGAAACATTCACTGGTTTTAAGCAGAACTGTAGCTCTGTCATTTCCTTCTTCTAATTTCACTTGCAGGTGATGCTTATATCTTTGTCCCTACAATAGCCTGCTCACAAATCATTGCTGTAGTTACAACATGCTAAGGTACAGCTTAGTGTGCAAAGCACAGTGTGAAGGGAAAACGTAACATCAGCAAGTGATTTCTTTTGTTTACAAATTTCCAGTTGGAAAGGCATGAAGCTAATATTGCACTGATTGCTATGTGCACTAGTGCTTTCTGAGAAGCAATAAAAGCTTGCAGGTATATGCGTTTCCAGAAAAGAATTCATGCAGAATCATGACTTGATGGCATCATAATATATGTCAGACTGATAGGTGACCTGTTTTGACAGCTGGGGCTGGACAAGGGAATTTGTTTGCTTGGAGGATTCCTCCGGGAAGCTTGGTTTTGCTCCTTCAGTACTGGGCTAGAATTTGAGCAGTTTGCATAAGCTGTCATTACAAAGTATGTTTGCCTGTTGCCGCAGCCAGACAGCAAGAGCTGTCATTCTTCTGATGCCTCAGCTCTGGCAGATCTGATGGGCATGGAAATCTCTGTTTTTAAAAAATCATTTGCTTCCCAGTAGCAGTTATGCAACACAATATCCCTGGAGAATTGCAAAGATTTATCTGGAAACCAACCTAAAATACAGCAAAAATGTGAGTCCTTTAAGTGCTGTAAATTGGGCTGGTTTCCGTTGCCAGCAGAAGATCTGGCCTGAAAGGTGCCACTGTAAGAGCTGAAATGGAGGCTTGGTTTAATGTGAAGGCTTCCAGCCATGTTTACCTTTCGTCTGTGCACGCTCCTGCTGCTTTCCAAAGTAAAGGCAAACACATAGAAAAGCAAGCACGTATCTGCAGAAGCTGGGGCTCAGGCATTCTTTGCAAAAGACAAACCGAGTAAGCTGCTCCTCTTCTCTCGTGCAGTCTTCAAATACTTGGTTTTGGTTTTAGAAATGTGGTTTGTCGCACCCTGAGCCATAAATACTGAGGTCCTGTATTGAGTTACAAGCTGACTAGGGTAAACCCAGTGCAAAGGCAGGCAAAGTCTCTGTCCCTGCTCCCTCAATGACCTTGTCACTCACCTGCCACCCTCCTCTGACAGCAATAAGTAATTCTGCTAATTCTGCTGCCTTGGTTTTATTGAAGGAGGACAGGCAGCCTTGATAAGCTTTTCTTTAAGGAAGTGCTATCAATGGGGATCAGTTGTTTCAGATGCTAATGGCACTGAATAGTTCAGTTCTGCATGTTCAAAGCCTGCTGTAATCCTTGTTGTTTATGTTGCATCAGGGATCAGAGGCCCATTCTCCTAAACACTGTATGTTGACAGAGCTTGTAGTCCAAATATAATAGCAATCTACTTGTGTTTGTCTGTGGCTTTTGCCACAGTGTGAGTTGTTACTAGTAATCACCCTGGTGAGTGGTACCTTTGGTTTCAGAGATCATGCTTTGGTTTCAGAGGTACATGCTCTGCCCTGCTCAGTTAACACAGGGCAGAGCATTGCAGCCTGTCACTGGAACAAGTATTTCATTTTTAACCCTATCTTCTGGTGACTGTATGCTGCCAAGTTTCCCCTTACGACAAATGTCTGGTTTCTACATCTAAATAAACAAACTCTGACAGAAATCAGGATGACAAAATTAAGATCAGGCCCTATGTGGAAATGATGGTAAATTTAGATCCAGAAGATCCTGTCAGACTGAGCTATTACGTGGCAGCACAGGCAGCAGTATCCTAAGACATGTATCTGACAAGACAGATCACTGGTGAAGTGATTCAGAACTAAAGTCAAAGCAATCTCTAAGGAATAATCCCCACAGCTTTAAAAATCAGGTTCTCTTACAGCAGATGGGATGCTGTGTGCTACATGTGTGTGATTCTTGGGCTGCCACAGAAATGCAGGGGACAGCCAAACACTAAAACCTCCCTCAAAAGCCCGAAGTTAGGGTGAACAGTAATCCCAGCATTTAACTCATAAATCTGGTTCCAGAACTCTAAACCTATAGTAAGCAGGCTTAGAGTAAGCAAATAGATTCAAGGTGCATTTAGAAAGACCACTTTGGCCAGATATGACTTATCCAAACTGGTTCAACCATTCCTAGCAACAAAGAGTGATTTTTTTTTCACAACTTCATTACAGAAGGTGGAAAATATCTAACTTATAGCGCATTAGTCTAGTGGGCTTTTATAAAGTCATGGGTGGCAGTTCACCACTGGCCTCAGATGGAGTAACCTTAGCCCTGCTGTATCAGCTGAGCTAGGGTAGGTCTGGACAGCTGCAGGAGTGCCAGGGGATGCCACCAAGCTTAGCCGCAGTGAAAGAAGATTGAACTGAATGAGGCTGTGTTGCATCAGCCTCTGACTGAGAGCATGTGCTCGGCCTGTCACCACAGCTCTGCTGGCTCACCGTGGCTTGCTACAGAAATAACTCCAACCTCAGCCCTGTGGCTCTGCAGCTTCAAACAGCATCTCCAGGTGGAAGGAAAGGGTGATGGCTCTGCTCTGCTCTGCTCCGCTGGGGCCATCGCACAAGGGAGCCAAACTCAGGCACACCACACAGGTCTGGCTGAGGAATAGGGTGAAGGAATGGCTTCAAACCCAACTAGAACAGTCTCTGCAAGGGTAGTCAAGGCTGTCCCTGGCTGTCAGGGTGGGCTCAAAAGCTCCTGCAGCCCCAGGATGTGACTCTTACACATTCGCTGGGGCTGTGCCAGTTAGATGAGCAGAACTGAGAGCTTTCTCTATTCTAGGCCCTTCAAATTTTCTCCCTGCAGGATGATTCAGTGGTGAGAGCTGCAGCCAGCACTGTTGTTTCTGCACTCTGTGGGACTCCTGTCAAAATATTTAGCTTAGCAAGAATCACCAACATGCAGGGGAGCTTCTCCCTTTTCTCTCTGAGTGGGTAGGACCCACTTAACCCGTACAAAGATAAGAGGGTGAAACACAAGTGACCCTCATACTCAAAAACTTCCTTTTCCCTCCATATACCTTAACAAGGTTTGACACAAAAGGAGGAGGGAGGGAAAGATGTCCAGAAATGGCCTTTATACCCAGTTTCATTGGGGATTTGGTGATGCAGCTAACCACTTATCTCCTCTGTGCCAGACTGTGGAGTTGTGCTGGCAGTGGTCTCAGGCCTGACCGCACAGAAAGGAAGTCTGACACCAGCTCAGAAGCACAGTGAGGCTGGACCCACTGCCTGCTCTGTGCCATTGGGATGCCAGCAGTGGGTCTGGGGAGAATCAAGAGTAGGGATCTGTGTCCCAGGGTGCAAAGGTACAGGTTGCCCTCTGAGAGGAGCAGTCTCAGCTCCACTCTTGTCTCCTCCAAAGAGTCATTGTGCATCACCTCCATTAGGAGCTTATGATCACATCCTGCCCTTTCCACTGATTGCTTAGTTTAGTGTCTGAGTCACCACTGGGGCCAGGTCCCTACACTGAGGCTGGGTGCTACAGACAAGCTCTTTGACTCCCACCAGTGGATTTCACACATCCACAGCATACCACCTTCTAAGTGAGTACCTAGACTGACAGACATTGTGCTGCCCAGCATGCCAGAGTTGAGCAAGCCAAGCAGCAGCAGGAGCTACTGGGACAACAAAGATGTGTCAAGGTTCTTGGCCAGCCACTGGCTGGAGCACAGCCAAGGACAGGTACCAAAGCAGCTGGGGTGTGGGGCAGGCAGCGGCTCCATGCAGGAGGTATCAGTAGTTTGGTGCCTGGGCTTGGCTGCCTGGGACAGCAAGGGTCATAGCAGAGCTGAGGCACACCAGCTCTTACTGGAGACGGGAGCCAGCAGCAGCCAGGAAAGACCTGGCTGAAATAAAAGAAAAATCAACAAAATCGTGTTGCATTATTTACAGCAATGGAAGGTTTTATTTTGACAGTTTCCATGGCTGTAAAATACAACCCTTGTTAAAAGTCATAATGTCAATCTGAAATCTGCTGGGCTTCTCTACCCTTTTTCCACTTCTGGGGAGTGCTTGGAGCACTGAGGTGGCTGTTGATGTGGGAGATTTTTGAAGGGGAAAGCTTAAATCCAAGATCTTAAGTTACTTATGGCTTGATTCAAACTCTTTCAATTCCTTAAAACTGTATTAGTTCCTTCTTTTATTACTTTTTTAATTATAATTAAAGAAACAAACACAAGTGTCTTGACACACATAGATACTGCCATTTGGGGAAGTGCCACTTCCTCCAGGTCAGGATGTGCACTCAGCAGCAAGGTCTGCTAGAGCAGGGTGATTTCCTGTGTGAGACTTGTGGCAGACTGGACCCTGCTGCCGTCGAAGTGGGTGAGAGTCCCTGGGAAGCCAGGCTGCCCTGGGTTCTGGGTGAGCCGGGTCAGAGCCCAGCCTGCTGCAGAGAGCCCCTGCACAGCAAAAGGGAATAAGTGCTGGTGTGGTGGGAGACAGGTGCCGAGCAGCGGCAGGCTGCGTGGCTCTGCCTTCCTCACACATGTGGCTCTGCCTGTCCATGGATGTGCAGGGGCAGGGACTGACAGCTCCGGGGAGGGCAGGCAGCTTTGTCAGCAGCCCCACTGGCTCCCCTCTCCTCTCTGCACCTGGGGAGATACCTCCGCAGTCCCCTTCTGTTGGCTGCCTGTCCTCACCTGTCCTGTCCATATCCTCCTGCACAGCTTGTACTCATTGTTCTCCCGTTTACACATTTCTCATGCAGTGCTCATAAAAAGCAAACCTACCCCTTCCTGGCTGTCATCCTTTAACAGATGCAAGCTTTTCCATCTCCTACCATGAAATAAGGCTTTGACTCTTGAACTCTGGTGACCAGAGTGCTCTCTAGCATCCAAATGAGATCCTGATACAGCACCATCCAATTCACACCATTAATACCTCCTTATTACTGCTGGAAATACTGCAGTATTTTGGGTTGCCTTTGCTTTTTTTGACTCCATGTTGTGGTGATGGTTCACAGTCATTCTGTAACTGCTGAGTGTGCCTTGATAATTCCCCCTTCTCTCATTTCCAGCTCCCAACCACCAGTTTTTAGAAGAGAGTCTATTAAGTCTTAAGATCATGACCTTGAACACTGTCCTGTGAAAAACAAAAAATCAGAAGTGAAACTGATCAGTGTGATGTTGCTCTCCTAGCTGAGTGAAACAGTCACTTCAAAGCATAGATTTGCATGTTGCTGGAGAGATCTCCAGATAAGGTGGAAAAAATTACTCTGTTAAGTCTTTTTGCACTTCATGGAGAACCTGCTCTTGCAGAAAACCAGCAGACACACAAACCTCTTCCCTTAATTTTCTACAATTAAAACAAGAAATAAGGAAAATAAAACACACAAAATCCACAAAAAAAAAAAAAAAAGAGATGTCTATTTGCATTTGCCTAAATAAAATAATTTCAAAGCTGTATGTCTTAAATATGATGGGGATTTCCTTTACCTGTTTTTCTCTTTGGCCATCGTAACCCAAATAAGCAAGTAAAAACCTGTCTTGCTGGCAGCAGCTCCTTTCCCTTTTTTAAGCTGAACCAGTTACTTTTATGTGATAGAAAGGAGTTAGTTCATTAAGTTTTACAGTTAAGTGCAGATTTTAGCTGACAGTGTTCTTTCCCTGGTGAAGGATTTCTGATTTTCTGGTCAGTCTAATCAAGAGGTGGAGCTGAACAAAAGCACAATATAGTTGAGTTCCTTACATTTTCCAGATTTTGATGATCATCATTTCCTTTTACAGGTAAGCAAAACAAATAAAAAATGGCTGCAATGGCAGCAAACACTCAAAGACAAACTATAGGCTGTGAGGAATACAGTCTGTACAGCAGCCTGAGCGAAGACGAGCTCATAAAGATGGCCATCCAGCAGAGCCTGGGAGAGGACCCAGTGTGTCAGCCAGACGTCCATCAGAAGTCGATGGTGGCACGTCCCGGTGAGGCAGCTGCCCCCAGCCACTCCAGCTGCCACAACCCAAACTACCACATTTACCCTTGGCAAAGGTGAGTGAGCGCCTGCCCGAGCTGTGCCATCCCAGCAAACACCCTGCTCAGCGAGGGAAAACAGCTCCCCCTGTCAAAACACGTGCTTTCTAATTAGCTTCACTGAGCGGCTGCTCTGCGAGTCTGTCATTAGTTTTAAAGCCAGACTTTGCTATAAATACGATGAGGTTAACAGTTTATGCCCTCACAGCAAACAAGAATTTGCTTGATGTTGTCTGTTTTAAGCAACAAATAAAACAAGAAAAGGGACACTGCTACAGCCTTCCCTGAAAGACAGACAGCCCTGCTGAAGCCAGTGACTCCTTTCCCCCATGGACACACTGTACACCGAGCTTAGGTTTTGCCAGAGAGGGGGCACAGGACCTGTTACGGGAAATCACAGGAGAGAGTCGAAAACCAGGTATATAAACCCGTGTGAGCTGGTACCTTCTAGACGCTGCAGTCTTTAAAGGATGTAGTTCTTTTAGATCAGAGCCTGACCTCGAGCACACCACTCTCAGCCAAGGGCTGCTCCAAACACCAAAGTGTTGAGGCATCCCCCTCCCCTGTGATGCTGGGCTGTGGGTTGCAGAGCCCTGCTGGCAGTTTCAAACTCAGACATTGTTCTCCTTTCATTTTTTAAAGGGCATATTTCTCAAAGGGGGCGGGAAGAGGTTATAAAGTCACTCCAAAACCAAGGAAAAATGTGGTTTTAAACCAATTTTTTAGAATAAGCTGGGGGTAACTGAAGTTTTGTTTGTCCTTTCACATAACTCCATCAACCACTGTTGCCTCAGTCATTACCACCTGTGATTGTTTGGTTTCCAAGGCTGGGAAACAGGACAATTAGATGAGTAGTACATGTGTTTCATAGCTGCAGAATCAGGGTGTTGTACAACAGGCAGTCCTGCTCCCACCAAAGGTCATGGCTTCTCTACACTGTTACCATTCACTTGTGCTGTCAGCTTTCCCACAGGGACCTGGTGCAGATGAAATAAGGGCTTCCCTGGCCGTTTGGTCCTGTCCTCCTTGGGGGTCCTCTGATACCTGCTATTCTGGCAAAGGGCAGCATCTGCTTTTGCCTCAGCCCAGCAGCATTTGACCTCTGGCTGGAGGGAAAACCTCTGCAGCTTGTAGCTCCATATCTGTAGCGGTTTTGAACTCTTCTGCCACCTAGGAATGCCAAGCTAGAAACAGATGTCACCCGGGGACCCAGGGTCCTCCTCCACCCCCACCTCCAACTTCCTTGTGTGGCACTTCAGAGGTGATGAATGTCACCTCACCTCGCCTCATGCCTGCTTCCTGTGCAGTGGTTGTAGGGTTAACCTCACTGTTGTCTTATATGGTCATTTGAATCCCCTGACTCTTCCTCAGAGGGCCAAAAATAAACTCAAGCTGAGAGAGCAGCTGAATCCAGTGCAGAGCAAGCTGTGGCCATCTGCTTTTGCTCAAAGCCCTGACCAGCCAGCTTTCTCACTTTGTCTCTGTGGATGTGTGTCTCTGTTTCTGCCTCAACATGACCTGTTTCTCCTATTCAGAGTATTTCTCTTTATTTCATTCATGTCATCACCACTCCAGACTGGCAGCCCAGCCGAGGGGCCATGCTCAGCCATCCAGCTCAGGGGCAGCCTGGGGAATCAGGCGAAGGTACGACGGCAGCCTCTTCAGCACATCCCAGCCTGTGTAAGTGCCTCCCGCTCCCTCTCCTGCCTTCCCCTGTGGTCAAAACAAGCCTTGCTACCCACTCTCCCCCTTAGATCTTCTGGGTGGTGATAGTGTTTGGTGGGGGGAAATAGAGGTGCCTTTCTTCTGGCCTCCCAGCTGCCATGGATCATGCCCAGGCTGTTACTGGTGATCCACATCAAACCTCCCTCGTTGTTGTCTCCCTATTCATCCCTCTCTCTCTCCAGTGCACATGTCCTTGGGACTCTGGGTCACTTGGTAGCTCTGAGGTGACAGGGACAACAGGGAAGAGATGCCTGTGCTGTTTATTTATATAGGCTATCTCCCATATCAACACAGTAGATGAGGCAGGCAGGTGCTGATAGCTACTACATTATTGTAAGGGTCACAGTACAAATATGGGGAAAGAGTGCGGGAACCCAAGATTTTATTGCAGTAGATAAACAGGGTGAGAAATTCTAGTCTTTTGAAGCAAATATTTCATAAATGCAATGCCTGTTCCCAGCAATACCTGCACTGTCCTGCCACCCTGAGGAGGGCTAGTAGAGGGGTGTACTACGTCTTACCTACCCAAGGAGGAAACCAGTGTGACTGACTTCAGTCCTTCTGGCCAAGTTTTTCTGTTGGTGGAGGCCATAGATAATCTTACGTGAACACAGACATTGATGAGGAAAGCAGACAGGCAAGGGGGTGGCCCACGCTCTGCCCCAGTGCCTGTGTGTAATGGAAAAGTTTGGACCGTTATGAATTTATTACAATTCTCTGCAGGGCAGAGTAGATGCATGCACCTGCCTTTAGCAGAGAGGAAAGTGTTGTAGGCAGCACTTCTTTGCGTCCTGCAGAAAACTCTTCCCTACCCAGTTCAAATGTACTTTGTTTTATCCGTCTTACAAGTCCCTCCCTGGATGCATGGTTGCAGTTAACTACCTCTCCACCACTGTTCTTCCTTTCATCCCTCACCTAGCTCTAAAGTACCCCCACCTCAGCCTGCACTGTGGCTGATCCAGGCTCTGTCCCTGACTCTTCACTGACCTTCCCCTCCCTGACATTGGAAAAACCTCATTCTGCTGGAACATGAAGCCTCCCTCATCCCTGTCACCTGCCAGCTCCCCTTGACCATACTGAAATCACATCTTCTTATGAAGTGTTCTGCACATCTTGCATGCTTCTACTGCTCTGCCTGCAAAGACCAGAGTTTAGGCTCTTTTTTCTGCCTCATAGCTCAGTAGAGTTCAAGCCACAAGAAGGCTTGTGTAAGGCTGGTAAGCTGGCCCTCCTCTTCTGCCAGGTGAAATCAAACTGTGGCTGGGAGGCCACATGAAAGCATGGTGGCACGACTGTGTTTATAGCCCTAGTCTCAGAGCCAGACAGGGATGATAGGTGGCTTCACCTGGGGAGATGATGTTCCTTCATGCTGCCTGCATCTCATCAGGCTGCTAGGAAAAGAAGGAGCTTGCTTGAGCTTGCTTAACCTTTCTGTGGTCCACAGAACATATTCCTCAGCATTCTGAACTGACCACACCATGCATCTCACCTACAATGCGTATTTACTATCTTGGCTACTGGCCTTTGAAATGTAGTAATTCTTTTGAGTCACCTCTAAGATTAAGATTTCATCTGAACTCCAGGCTTCCTCTATAGTTTTAATACTCTTTTTTTCTATATCTGATGAAATCTGAGTGGCAGAATGTGTTGGTTTTACAACAGCCAACTATGAACCAGGCAGAAAACAAGGATTTCACATAGAGATTCATTAAACTTTCTGTACTGATGTGGAATTTTCTTGGCTAAGGCATCTATAGCCTGGTCCAGCAAACCCCCTCATCTTAGCCAGGAATTTTTTAAGGTCAAGGAGCCTGGCAGAAGCTTGCTTCATTCAACATCCAAGGGTTTAAGCAGATAGTAACTGATTATTCACACATTTTTAACCCTACCACACCTCTGAGGTACTCTGCTTTCACTGAGCTCTCAGCTAAGGTGATTCACCTTGCACTTGCTGTGTCTCAGCCCCACATACAGACTCCTGCCATGGCCCATCTGGCATGCAGTAACTCTTTAAGTGCTGGTAACTATTATGTGCCCAAATCCTGAGATCTCTGTGCTGCCCTGCATGTGTAACATGAACCTTTGCACAGAACAGCAGATGGCTTCAGCAGTCTTGTGCCAGAGGCTTTTGAAAACGAAGCTTCCGCACCTCTGCCTCCTCTTGCAGCCAAACATGCCAATTGTTGCTGCTGACTTCAACAAAATGCTCAATTTTGCAAAATTGTATAAAAATCTGTTATTTAGATAAAACTATCAATTTTAAGTTTAGTCCCCAGGGCACTCTAAATAGTATGGAGATACAGCAGCATCCCTGGGACCTCTGCCTGGCTGCTATCAGAAGGTCAGTTGATTCCTCCTGGGTGGGCTGTGGACAGGAAGGCAGTTGCCTGCTCTAGCTATCTCCTCAGGCAAAATGCCTGCCTTTGTGTCCCACAGCAATCCCCATTCCAGTGCTGCTATTTTTGTGAATTTGCTGTCTTGAAATCACTGCTTCCAGCTATAGATATGGAGCAAGTGGCACCATGTACTTTTTCACCTGGGAAATGGTGTCTTTCTCATTCCTTGGCACACATGTTGTGCTCACCTGTTCTGCTCCAGGCCCCAAGTTTATCCTCAGAGAAGCAGTTTGGTGACTGCTTTCAGTGCTAATATCAGTTTGTGGCACAGATTGGGTTCCACTGGGCAAGCTGAAATGAGAGATGTCTGTGTGAGTTTCAGGCTATTGGTCTCTCCAGCCCCTGCAATGAAATCCAGTGCTGCTCCTGTAACTTCCACTAAGTGTAGAGGCTGTGTCAATGATCTGCTTTTTAAAGACTCCTGTGCTGAGCTGCCCACATTTTTCTATCATCTCTGATTTTACTGTTGTGACATTTTAGACCTTCTTTCACAACCAGAGTTCCTGACTGTTCCCATTGTCACTGCCCTGCATGACCTTCATCACATGCTGTATTTCTACCCAGGCAATGCCAATCTGAGATACACAACTCCCCCCTCATTCACTCCACCTTCAAGGCTGCATGATTTTATCTTTAGAGTTAGTTCAAACCACAAACTCCCCAGTGTTTTCAACATCTTATTCTTCTCTGAAAAGACAGCTCACATTAAGTTTCTACAAGACCCCATTAGAACTTAAAAATATGCTTCTTCCTTGTGGTGTTTGCAGTCCTGAAGCTTAGCTGTTTGGTGCCTCAGAATAAGGAAGCAGTGGCTGCCTTCTCCCAGTACAGCTCAGCAGGAGCACCAGCAGATGCTAGTCCTGGAAGGCACAGCTGCCACCCTGAGCAGAGCTACTATCTGCCACTGCCATGATTAAGGATATTGCCTGCATCGGCTGCAGGGTACCAGTTCCCTCCCTCTGCTGTGCTGCTGGTGGTCTCAGTCAGGGTTCAAACAGGAAGGCAGGTCCTGCTGCAGTCACTGCTGATCAGAGGTATGGTGACTGTCAGGCAGCAGCTTTCACTGTTGTTGTGTAGAAGGAGTGGTGTGCCCATGTCAGCCCTGCTCTGCAATTGCTCTTACACAGCTTGGAGAAATGGGTTGCTGCCCAGACTGTGTAGAATGTATGCTTGGCAAAGGGAATGCTTGTCAGAGCAAAGCTCACTTGTAGCTGCTCATTGTGTCTCACTTCTGGGTGGCATGGAACATGCTTCATGCTTTTTTATAGATTTTCATGAGACTTTTCTTGAAAGCTTCAGAATTAGGTAGCATCAAAAAAAAGAGGACTTTGATGCTATTTGTATTTTCTCTGGTAAACACAGAAATACTGTTTTAACACTTTTCAGTGATTCTACACATTTCAATGACTTTCTGCTCAGAAGAGGTTTCAAAGTATTCCCTCCCTCCCTAATATTTTTCATTCATTTTATTCCTTGCACCTAGAAGTTACTTGGCCCTCTGGGGCCTGACAAGGGTTTGCTGGGTTCAAATAGTCTGGAACATAAACCACTGCACAGCTTGGCACCAGGTCCCATTGCAATTCCAGAGGCCCCTGACTGTTGTAGTTACTGGGGAAACTGCTAAGTTGGCTAAGAGGCTTACAAGAGTGGTCTTGTCAATAGAGCTAATGGGTCTTCTCCCAAACAGGCTCCTAAAAAGCAGATTTTCAGAAGTGTCCAACACATTTTTGAATGTCTATAATGTCTAAAGTGGTTATAATTTCTGAAAATTTGAGTACTCCATGCTGAAATAACAGCTGACAATCTCTAGGGCATGGTCATGAAGGGCAGCTCAGAATTTCATTTGGGTGGGTCTTTTTATTGTTTTAATCCTCCTTGGCAGAAGAAAGGAGAGCCCAGACCAACACCCAAATGTTCACAGAGTCTAACCAGTTCTCTCATAACTGAACTGGCTAACTTCTGAAAACAGGCTTGCATAAGAGAAATGGGAAGTATCTTCAAAATACAAGAATAAGATTTATTGAGAACTTCTGCTTTAGGGCTTAGCCACATGCAAATCAAATTTAAAATTTTCTTCAGGGATGAACAGGGGCAGTTCTTCAAAGCTGATTTTATTTAAGAGATCTCATATGGGAACACCTTGCTACATGCAATAGCAAATGGCAGGGTGATGTAATTTTCATAGCCATGGACACGCATGGCAGTGTACAGAGCAACTGTAGAGCTAACAGCCCCCAACTCCAGATATTTAAAGTGTGTTTATGTCAGAGATTAGTCACACCTAAACTTCCCTTACACTCCAAGAGATCAGCACTTTCAGTGGTTCTTCTGAACTATTGTGAATGGCCAAATCAGAGAAGTCAAATTTACCTCTACAGTCACTCTAGGAAGACGCCTTAGGGCAACAAATACCTATTGTATATCCTGTAGATGTTCAGTGTTTGGGCCAGATGATACAGAGATGCTGCTGCCAAAAGCTTCTCAGTAATGATGAGGCAGTAATTGAGTTTTAATCTTGTTTTAAAGAGAACTTGACCCTGTAGTGGCAGCAATCAAGAATGGAGATGAAAAAGCGGTAAGAAACATGATGAAATCAGGAAAAAATCTTTCTGAACCTAATAAGGACGGCTGGATACCCCTCCATGAAGCTGCATACTATGGCCAAGTGGGTTGTCTGAGCCTGTTGCAAAAAGGTCAGTGAAGTTAAAACAAATTAATTATAAAAGGGAAAATAAGTATATGAATTAACTAAAAAGCAGAATTAACAGCAGACCAATCCTCATCTGGGACTGTGTGAAGCTTTCTTTCAGCCTTTCTGAGTATACATTCACTTCATCTTCTCTTTGAGCATAGGTTTCCAGGCGGAAGCCTCTAAAGTTAGGATCTTGAGGAGAAAGTGATATCTGGATAGATCTTGCCAAGCTCTCGATTTCTCACAATAAAGCCTTTAGCTGAGCTCTTGGCTATTGTAAGCTGCTCAGCTGCCACAGCTGACAGCAATTACCCCACCTCCCACTAGCTGGAGATCCATCCCAGCCCCTCTTTTCTGGTGCTTGAAAGTGATTAGCCACTGTAGCTTGTTTTGAAAGTGCTACTCAAGAGCAGTTAATAACTTTCGGTATCACTAATGGCCATAGCTGAACATTTTAATCTAAACTGGTGACTGATTTAGACACTTAATCAGAGTTATAGTACCTTTATAGTATATTCTTAGTTTACTTTGTTCATGGAAAAGGAAAAGAAATAAACAACAAAACCCCACTAAAAACTCCAAGGATTTTGAAAAGTGATGATGCTGCAGGTACTTCTGCATTGCATGCCACAATGACTTTGGGCTTGCCGTTTCTCCACAGCGTACCCCAGCACAATCGACCAGCGCACCCTCAATGAAGAGACGGCTCTCTACCTGGCCACCAGCCGGGGCAACCTGGACTGCTTGCTTACCCTGCTGCAGGCTGGGGCTGAGCCTGACATCTCCAACAAGGCCAGAGAAACGCCACTCTACAAAGGTGAGTGGCTGCTTTTCCAGGGATGCTGAGCTCTTCTGGCACTACCAAGGCAGAGCTGCAGGATACCTTGTAATGTAGGGCTGAATCTCAGCAATTAGCTCCCATTTTCTACCTCCCTCCAGTAGTCCTCTGTTTCCTGTGTCTGACACCCTATGTCGTGGTTTTTCTTCTTCACATCAGAGGCAGTATCAGTGGCCACGCTGCAGGGTGCAGGCTGTGATTTGCTGCTGAGATCAGTGAGGTATGAGGTGTGAGGTGTGAGATGCTTAAGCACAGGGTGTCTGCACAATGTCCCAAATGTATGGAAAGCTGGATAGTATGGCAATATGTATGCTTTTCTAAACAGCAGGACCTAAGTCGCTGTTAGATGTGGGAGTACAGTAACTGTAGATATGCCAGTGATTCTGATACTGTGTAGGCCAAGCCAGGCTGTGTGCTATGGAAGCTATAAAGAATATAGCATATATAGCATAAAGCTATAAAGAATATAGCATATATAGCATAAAGCTATAAAGAATTCAGTGAGGTAGTTGGTGTTTAACATGAACATGTTACTTTGCTGTTGGTCAGAAAGAGTACTTTCTTTAGCTGAACAGCGTTGCATCCATGGTATCACAAAGATTCAGAGAAGGAGATGATGATGGACTGACTGCTCATGTCATGACTATTTTTAGCAGTCTGAAACATTAAAATCACATATGAGTGATTAAAACTAATGGCCTCTGATTCTGGATACCTGGCTTTAGAGCTGCTCTGGTTAAAATGCTTTCATTTCAAAATTTTGGCTTATAGTTTGCTACAGGAAATCTGTTCAACTATGCATTAAACACATAGTAGTGGTAGTAGTAGTAGTACTCAGTAATAATAAGAGCAATAATATGAAATCACCCTTTAGCCAGAGAAGAGCTTACTAAGAATGTACTAGTCTTGATGTAGAATCTTCTGGTCTCTGATCATAACAAATTGTCATAACAAATTAGTCATCCCTAGTATGTAAGCAAATTAAATTCTTCAGAGCTGTGTATAGGTAATTACAGAAGTATCTAATCATGAAGTTGTTTTCAGTGCATGTGACTCCTGTGTATGGGAAAGGAAGCCGTGGAAGTATCCTAAGGGAAGAGTCAAAACCAAATCATGGGACCTCTGTGAGAAAAAGTTATTATTATTTCAATGAAAAAAAAATCAACAATTGTTATGGAATGTGCTAGCCTCTCTTTCTGTACATTGTACAACAAATGCTAATTGGGGTTTGAAAATGTGGCTGCTTATGCTAGGTACCTTTGTTTGGGGGTTCCACTGAAAGTTCTATAGAAACCTCAGGATTTGGGATTGAAAAAGCAATGGAACAAATAGGTAGAATAAACCCCAATAAGATAATATTAATTATCAAGAAAATACCTTTAGCTCAGGATGGTCTTTGATCTTACTCACTATGGCCTAGTTGTATTATATTGCCTTGTCACTGTGTTGCATGAACTGGACACCATAATATCCAGAATCTTTTCAAAAGCCTTCCTAATCACTTTCCTTTTTTTCCAAAACAGCTTGTGAGTGCAAGAATGCAGAGGCTGCAAGACTTCTGGTACAGTACAATGCTGACACCAACCATCGCTGCAATCGAGGATGGACTGCTCTCCATGAGGCTGTCTCCCGAAATGACCTGGAGATTATTGATATACTTGTGAAAGGGGGTGCCAAGATTGAGTCTGCAAATGCCTATGGGATCACTTCTTTATTTGTGGCAGCTGAGAGTGGGCAGTTGGAAGCTTTGAGATACCTCGCAAAATGTGGTGAGTACACTTGTGCCATTACATGCCTTTGCTCACTTAATTCTTAATATTTCAGAGTTCCCATAATTCTCCCTGTCTTAGTTTTTCTGTCACAGGAGCCTGCATAGGTGATGAAACCCTGTTGCTCCAGGTGGCTGAATTGTGTAGAAGCTTTCAGAAAGTGTGGTCTAGGTATATGCACTTCTTCAGCATTCATTCAAGGTCAACTACTTTGGGAAGTAATATGGGGCTCTCTAATTGCAATATCTGACAGTTTTCAAAACCTATATTGCTGCACATGTGTAGCCTAAAACCCCATCAGTCATAAAAGGCAGCTATAGCTGGTAATAGATGGCAGAAGTTGAATATTAGCCAACCCCACCTGCTCATGAAGATGTGCAGTGATGGGCAAGGTTAGCCCTCCTCCACTAATGACTCCTACTGAAAATAAATTAAATACTATTGTACAGTTCTTGGATTAACACTAAGAAGAATCAGAAACTCTCCCCATGTGTTCAAACGTATAAACAGCGACTTTGAATCTAGTTTACACTAAACTTAACTTTTACTTCTCCACTCATGTAAAACAACTTTACAACAAGCACAACAGACTTCGCTGCTATTCTGAGGTGTATTTTATTTTCACTGTGGACTAATGTCTTGAACGCAGGTAAGAGTTGTGTCCTGCACTTGTGGAACAAGAGCTAAACATTGATGAAGAGAGACTTCTGAAGCAGTTAGTGTGGATAAGAAAGATATGAGAGTTAGGGAACAAATAATGTGTTCTGCTGTCCAGCTGGCACTGTCAAGTCAGTTTTATATGACCAGTTAGTCTATCATACTGCCCACAGTTTTAGAAACTAAGGCAGAATGTGATATGAGTTTCAGTTTAGACAGCTATTAGGATTTCCTTAAAGTTCAATTTTGAGAAAAATACACAGGAGAAAATCCAATAAAACGGTCCAATTTTTTCAAGCCCTGAAAAACTCAGAGAATACCAGGAATGATATCACTGCATTTTTTTTATGATGAGCAATGTTCATCATAAAAATGATTTCTTTTTAATTTCTTTTTCATTAGGAACATAGTCCTGTGTTATGTCTTGTCACAGCAATTTCCCTGATGTTCCCAGCTACAACATCTTCAAAGAAACAAACACAACACATTTCAGTTTGGGATGAGAGCACAAGGAAATGTTCTCTTTGGCATGGAGTTTTCATGATAAAACAGGAGACTGATTGGCTTCTTTACTGGAGTTTAGAAACAAAATCCAGTGAACTGTCATTCCCATTTAGGATACACATAAAACAGCCTTCCTGAGGACATGAGGGTACACTATATTACAGTTGAAACCCAGGATTTCAGGCCGTAAGTATCTAACACAGAAGTTAGATTCCAAATTATTTCTAGACAAGAAGTATTAGGTCTTGGTTTATAGTTGTATCATGTTTATTACGAGAAGCACACGGTAGAGCTCAAGAAAAAATGACCCCAAAAATCCTAGAATCATTGAACAGTTTGGGTTGGAAGGGACCTTAAAGATCATCTAGTTCCAACCCTCCTACCGTGGGCAGGGACACATTCCATTAGACCAGGTTGCCCAAAGCCCCTTCCAACCTGACCTTGAACACCACCAGGGATGGGGCATCCATAACACCTTGGGGCAATGTGTTCCAGTGCCTCACCACCCTCATCGTAAAGAAGTTCTTCCTAATGCTGAATGGAGCTTGGATTCATGACTGGGACATAATGGTTTCCACCCAAGGTTAAACTTTCTCTCATAAAAGTCACATCACATTCAATGCCAGTGGAAAACTATGGTAGAACTTTACATAACTGATATGACTATTATCTGCGATAACATCTCTTTCCATCACACTTAGTAGCTTCAGTGTCATGGAGATGTATATGCTCATTCAAAGTACGTTATTTCCATCTGATTTTGACCTTTTTGTTTTACTGAGATTATTTTTTTTTCTTCCTAGGTGCTGATATAAATACTCAAGCCAGTGATAATGCCTCTGCTCTTTACGAAGCTTGTAAAAATGGACACGTACATATTGTGGAGTTTCTTTTGTCCCAAGGAGCAGATGCTAACAAAGCCAATAAGGATGGCCTGTTACCTCTTCACATAGCAGCCAAAAAAGGGATTTGCAAGTAAGTTTTAGTCCATTTCATAGTTTTGTTTTTTAGAAAAGAATACAACATCCTCATGAAAATTAAAATGTAATGTCCCACATCTAATTCTGAGCATTGCAAGCAAAGGAGCTGCCAACTGAGAACCGGGTTTTCTGCTTGCAGAGCTCAGGTTCAAAATTATAAACTGATGAGTGTGATTATGGGCTGGGATTGGGTGAGCAGGAATGTGGGTGTAAGATTCATTTAGCTTTGCCAAGATATCATCAATTACAGTTAAATAACATCATGCATCTTGGAAGGGGATTAAACTGTGCTCCACAAAATATGCTTGAGATGAAATAAAAAAGCATCGGGGGGGGGGGGGGGGGGGTGGGGGGTGGGGGTGGAGTTAGTCCTCAATAGCTATTGCAGGGTAGTTTGCAACAATTTTCCTACATGAGCCCGTTGTGATTCTTCTGCACAAGCAGAACATGTTTCATTCATCTCTGTTGTGTTCAGGTTTTATTAACAATAATTCAGATGCTGACAGCAGGAAGCGGTTAAGTGAATCTCTAGGGCATTAGTGAGAATGATGCTAGAATATGGTGTCCAGCTCTGTTACCCTCCCTTTCAGAAACCTTTCAGGAAATTGGAAAGGCTTCAGAAAAGAAGTAAAAGAATTACTCACGGTCTGGAAAATAGACTTCATTACTGAGTTATTAAATGACTCTTAAATGCATAAAAAGATCCAGTGGTTTGTTTCTGAAATTTAATGTATTTGGGATAGAGCTGAGCACATTCTTTAAACAGTGAGGAAAGTAACTAATGGAAAAAATAACTGTGAATTGGGTAGATTTACCACTCCACTGAAGTACAGGTGTTTATAGGAGATGGAGAAACAATGCAGCGCATGATACAGAATATCAGTTTAGAAGATGCTGTTTAGGGATGGGATTGTTGCACAGTCATGTAAATAGTGTTTACCTTGCTCTTTCAAGACCTAGGACGTTGCAGCATGCTTCTAATCCTGAGCATTTACTTCTGATCTTAGAGCAAATTTATCTCCTGCCTTTAATCCCTCACTGCTGGAAAGGCAAGTCAACCACAGTTGTTTTTGCAAAACAGTCACATCTGGAGGTGATAGACCTTTTTGGTGACTGTAGTGAACTCTTCTGGCTATCACAGTTTCTATAAAAATCCTTTCAGCAATAATCAAAGGAAAAAGTATATCCCACTGCAAAGACTGTTTCTGGACAGTAAAGCTATATCTGCAAACAACTGTTAGAACAGATTCTCATATATTTCACAATGTCTGAGGAATGAAAACTTTTGACAGCACTACACCTTCCCATAGCATCTTTCATCCTAGCATTTAGGTCTGCTTGGGAATCCCAATATAGCTTCTTAAATCACTTTAATAGATATGAGGATAGTAATTTTCTGTAGTTGGAGTAAGCCTGCTTCTTTGTGCAAGCTGTGTATTCTAGAGGACAGCCCAGTGTGAATTTATGTAATGGGTTTATATGCTTAGAGCATGAACATGAATACCACACATAGACTAATGCAGGCATGATTAACAATTTTCTCTGGGGTTTGAGTTACAAGGACATTTTCTTGAAAACAAACACATTTGAGATGATGAGAAATGTGCCAAAGACAGAACCCAGCTCCAGTTGCTCACTTCCAGAAAAGTTCCTCTGAAACTACAGTAAGTTGATCAGAATCCAATTTGTACACAAGAGTCAGCTTTTTGAATCTTTTCCTTCCCTCAATAGTGCCACATCCTGACCTGAAAAGAAATTTACATGGAAACTCTTCAATCTGAGGCCATCCCCATGTTACGAAAGGGCCTAATTCAGACCTCACATCTATTATTCCCAAAACCAAGCAGCATAAATGAGATCAGCATTCAGTACAAAGTCTGAGTTCCTTGAGTTGTAAAAGTCTGAACACAGATTTTTGTCCATAACTGCTGCAAACTAAATGTAAAAGAAAGAAGAAAGAAAAGGATCTTCTCTTATAAATATTTATCTAAATGACAAAGCTTTAGCCTAATTGGCTGATCATTCTTAATTCTTTCAATATTCAGTAAAATAACACCCTTCACAGTGTCCTCTGTATTCCTCAGATTTAATACGTAATTCTGTAGGAATTCCATGCTTCAACTTTTTGATAGAACACAAAGGCTCCCTACCATCAAAAAGCCAAGAATGTGGTCCCAAGGCTCAACTGTCAACTCTTGTTGCATGGTGTTTGTTTATTTTAAATGACACCTTGTCAATAGTGACCTCAAATTCATAAGGGTCATCTCATCAGCTGTAAGACAATCGCAAGCAGTCAGTTTAACTCTTTACCCCTCAGAACTGAGATGCTGAGAAGGGAAGACTTTGTGCAGTGTGAGCAGATTTATTAAGTAAATACAAGTCATCAGACTCTTGACACACTCATGCTAAGAATACTCTGCCTCCTTCTCCACATAACTTCTAACAAATAGAAATCACAGAAGCAGGTGTCAGGAATAAGGAGAAACTCAACACTAGTTCGAACCTGTACTTGGAGCTCAGCCCTGTGACAGACCTGGGATGTGGTCTGGCTTGTCTGGCCTTGGCTGCCTTCACTTGAGCTGCCTTCTCCCTAGTGAGACCGGAAAGACTGAAGAGGTGGAGGCACCATTATTTCTGAACCAACCCACTTTGGAGGATGAGGGAGACAGGTTCAAGCTACAAAATTACTCTCTGTTACAAATTTGATGCTTCCTGCTTTTCCTCCCCAAATAAATGTGTGGTACAGGGAGTGTGCTAAGGTCTGGGACACTGCAGCATTTGGATGCAGAGCCTCAGCTTGCCATCCCTGCAGTGAGGGTCAGGTCCCCACTGCAGGCAGAAACAATGCAGTGCCTCTTTAACTCAGATGTGAAGAGCTGGCTGAAGTACATATGCTGGAGCAAAAGAACAAAACAGACCCTTAAATCTTCAAATCAGTTGATCATGGGATGACTAATGCTGGTACTTGGCATGGTGTCCTCACAGTGCTCTGTGCTCTTTTTGTTATTATGGCTCTTACAGAACATTTGCTAATGGTGGGACGTTGCCAGCTCACCAGCACCCAAACCTCCTGCTCCCTGGTGAGCATCACAGCACTAGAAGATTAGTGAAGCTGCTGGGGGGGGTGGGGGGAAGAAGTGCTTAATCACGTAAATAGGAACATAATCCTGTAAAGTGTTTTGCATCTTCAACTCATATTTCAGCTTCTGGGGGCTCGGTCTTTCACAGGATCATTTTCACAGCATCACAGGATCATCACAGCCAAAGGTTTTTCTAAGGCTAGCACTTATATTTTGCTTGTTCATTATGTAAATGTATGTTTGAGGTCCCAGTGCTGAGACCATTGCAGTGAAGCTGAAGATACGCAGTATTTTAAAAGAGGCATACTACATGGTAGAAAAATAAGCTTTCCATGTTTGTGTTAGAACTGTTGACTGCTAGATAGAGGAGTCTGCATGGGATGAAGAAAAGGTGAGGGTGTGCTTTGCTTGTTAGCTTGGTCCCACAAATTCCTTTTTAGATATTCCTCTCTCCACCAGCATTACATAAGGAGCATGGGCATCTCCTGACACAATAGGAAGACTCAGGTTGCATGGTCCCCAGTCTCTTTCTGGAAGTAGGTTAAGGTGACTCACGTGTGCTTACAAAATCAACCTAGTGTGTTGGCTAAGCCACCCAACTTTATGAGCAGGTAGTGAGGGTTTAACCCATGGGGCTGGTCATGCAGCTCCAATGACAGCTAGAGAGACACAAAAATAATCATGGATTTGCAACTGTGGGGCTCCTGTACATCGTATATTTGCACTTCACATTACATGAGAGCAGCTTGATTTATTTTGCTGTATTTAAGGCCACATCACATTTTCCAGTAACAATCCCTGATTACTGGGGTTTAGGACTTGGCTGTACATTTTTTCTCCCTCTGCTAAAGCATGGAAACCAGCTTGGAAAATATTTTCATTTCTTTTTCTCCTCTTTCCAAATTGTCTTTTTGGCTCCCTGTGGTCTGGGATGGCCGTTGATAGTCCCATGGATTTGCCACAACCAAAAGCCACATGGCGAGGACCTCCAGGATGTGGATGAATCCAGGGTAATAACCAAATTGTAAAATTTGGTGGTGAGGCCTGGGAACCAAACGTGTAGTCTATCCTTGTGCAATCCTGCAAAGCAAGGTTTCGTTTCACTCCCTTTCTGGTCTCAAGCCTCTTGCTGTGGCTGTGACCAGTGAGGCCTGCCAGTGATTTGTGTTGGCACACTTCTCTGTGGAGCAATACAGCAATCCCAATGGAGGTGGGAGACTGGAAGATACAGCCTGTCTGCTGGCACCTTGGCCTGCAGGCCATGCCTGTTTCTCCAGTCCTACCCACAGCATGGTGATGAAGGTGCAAAATGTCTGGGGGATCCTGGTCTGGTGTCTGCCATTTGGCTGTGGCACCTAAGAGAGGTTACAACAGCATAGGTGAGTGCCAGCACATTGCCTCTTCCATCATAACTGCCCCTGTAGCTGCCAATACCTCATAGAAACTGGGTGATAATTTCAAAAACACTTGTTTCCTCCATGAAAGAGGGGGTCACACAGCTGACGGGTTTCAAGTTCACACCCTGGTTTCTCTCAGAGTTTTTCCTGTGGCCAAATTAGCAGGCTCTCTCCTATGGAGAGCTAAAATTTGCTGCGTGGTTGTAAATGCCCTGGATCCCCTGGAGCTCACTGCTGTACGCTGACTCTCCACCTGGCAGGATTGTCTCCATGCTGATCCCAGTGACCAGCCGCACCCGCATCAAGCGTAGTGGTATCAGCCCCTTGCACTTAGCGGCCGAACGCAACAACGATGACATCTTGGAAGAGCTGATCGATGCTGGCTATGATGTTAACACTGCGCTGTCCAATGAACGGTCCTGCCTTTACGAAGACAGACGCACCACCCCCCTCTATTTTGCTGTTTTTAACAACAACATCTATGCAACAGAGCTCCTGCTGCAAGCTGGAGCTAACCCCAATGTTGACCTTATTAACCCATTGCTCATCTCCATCCGCCACGGCTGCTTGAAGACCATGAAACTGCTCCTTGACCATGGAGCAAACATTGATGCCTATATATCAAGCCACCCCACCACATTTCCAGCTACCATCATGTTTTCAATGAAGTACCTATCTGTGCTGAAGTATCTGCTGGATCTGGGCTGTGATGCAGGTTCCTGTTTTGAGTGTCAGTATGGAAATGGCCCGCACCCTGCATTAAATTACAGACGGGACAGACTTAATGATCCTGAACTGTCCAAGGAACCAACGGTAGTTCAGGTAAGCACTGCCTGGTCTACTGGTACTTCTGAGGGTGTCTCCTACTCATGTATCTTGGAAACTTTAGTGTATTTGTTTCTTCCATCTTTCCTGTGAGAGAAGATGCCTTTATTCCTGGTTTATTTACAGAAAAAAGGCTTAATAAGAGTCTGTGAACATTTCAAGTCCATGTTCAATGACTTCAGGATGGTAGGCAACAGCTACTGTGGCCCTAGCTTGAATTTACAGTGAATTATAGCCATCTTGACAGCCTTGCTGTCAGATCTACAGTAATTTTTTTCCTCTGGATCTGAAGTGCCAGGAGTGTCAGGCAATGTCATACGGGTGGTAGAACAGGGGTGGTAGCATATGGGCAGTCTATTTGCTTCTTGGTTTATTTGCCCTGTAAGATTTGTTTTGTCTGATATGGAATTTAAGCTCCTGGCTAAATTAAAATTGGTGCTTCACTTCATGTAGGTAAACCACTGAATGTAAATAGTTGTAATTTCGAACTCTACTGGATAGGCAGCCTGGAGAGAGGGAGTAAATTGTTAGCTATATGACTGTGCATTATATTTGAGTTTTCAAAAGAGATTAGGAGATTTAGATCCATGATTTCAAAGCCAGTTACAGATTTTAAATATCCAAGCTTTACACATATTTCTTTGCAGTCCTTTCCAAAGTGCAGCTGGGCTTATCTTCCATTGGATTCTCAATACCCTAAAGGATTTTGTATAATCTAAGATTATGCTTTTTTTCTGATCTCTGTATATTGACTCCTTCCAAACAAAATCTCAAACAAAATCTGATTTTCCAATCAAAATTTTCTACCCTTAAACATGTAACATGATAAAGAAATCTCAGCATGTCAGTCTTTCTATTTTGCAAAGAATTAGGGAAGAAATAAATCACCTTCTATCTCATTTAAGTATAGTTTTGAGGGATTTAGAAGAAAGTGTCATTTGCCTTAAGAGATAGTCACCAAAAATGTTCCTCAGTGATGGAAAGAATGAAAAAATACATTAAAAGATCCTAGAAAATCTTTAACTTTTTACCAGCCCTGCTTCCAAAAAACTTTACTCTACAGTGACATGTCTGAGAAACAAACAAAAAGAAATCTTAGAAAGAAGATTGTAAGAGTCCATCAGAATAATCTCTTATCCTGAAGAGTTGACTTCTCTTTGAGAGTGTTTGTCACAGCTTTAGGATTGCTTTAGCATACCACATTTTTGTCACAGAAAAATTAATAAAATAATAAAATTATATATGTGCCTAGAGAGAGAGACTGGTGAGGGACAAATGCATACAGAGAAAAAGCAATTCCTTCCCTCCAATATCATTTTAAATTTGCTTCCCACTGCTAGGAATTTGGCTAACAAAAATAAGGCTTGTATGGTGTAGCTTCATGACATAGTTGTGATATGGTTTGTATTCTGAAGTATAGAGGATCTTATGAAACTATAGACTTCTCGAGACAAAAGATGTGCTTTCTTTTTTATTATTTTCTTGTACAAGATTACATAAGGATAATAAACCTGAATGATTAGTCTTTATACAGTAAAGACTATGAGCTACTGGAAGTGATCTGAAAAACGTGTAACTATAAATCACTACTGTTGCTACTAAATTAATGTGTCCTGGAGAAAGTGAACACAGAAAAATGGTTGCTGACTCACTCCACGTTTCCAGAGTTGCAGTGTCAAAACCGTGGAAGTGGGGAGTGAATTATTCTACTGCCGCGAGAGGGCATTCTGGGGCCTATCGAGACTGGAGGCTCTGAGTCACTTTGTCCCTGATTCAATTCCACTGCCTGTAGTTGCAGGTTTGAATTATTTTTCCTTGTTTAGCTATGCTGCTTTTTCTGCAACATGTTTTGGAACATTTTTATTTCAGAAAATTTTTTTGTAGACTGAGCTTGTCTACAGGGAAGAGAGAAAAAGGCAAACTCTCTGGCAGAGGCAAGAAGAGATAAGTAAGATCCAGTGGTTTATTGCCTTACCCATGTGCCTTCATTTAAACTCTGACAAAGTGGAGTTACTGTTTGGAGGTAGTAGTGCAGATCCCCAGTTTGCATGTCCTATGGGTAACTGCATGTGAATGCCACATGCACTGGAGAATGACAGCCAGATATACTATACTGGATTTCCTATAAACATTTCAGGTAGGAAACTGGGTTGTCTGCTGGGATCCTCCTGATGTTACTGTATCTAATTTTCCTGGGAGAAACTACATGGTGATGCCCAGTGGGGGAAAAAAAAAAAAGTCAGAAGAGTAGTAACCACCTCCATGAATGCTCTTACCTTCAACAAAATTGCCTTATAATTTGCTGCAGCTTTATTCTTTCCTAGGTGAGCTAATGTGGTTTTATTTCTGAATAACATTATCCACACGAAAGTTTAATGCCTTTTGAGTGCGAGCTCATACATATATCATCAAATTTGATCTAGTTAGAGGAGCTTAAACTGAAAGAGGTTTAAGCTGGTGCATTTTCTTTCCTGTTTAGGGTGGGCTTGGAGGGTGCTTGCAGTCTCTGTGACTAAGCTGATGGATGGTGCTTAAGCCACCATCATTCATTTAGGTTTGTCTATGTGTCTGCATTCTTATCCACACAGCATGATTTAATTCATGTCAAACCTTCTGGCTGCTCACATGCAGATACATCCACAGATATCTTCATCATATGCAGCACTCTAGATAGATTAAGCTGTCTGGAAAAATATACATATTTAGATTAAAGAGGGAAGAGAAGTCACTACTTTTTTTAAATGAGACTGCTTAAAATCAGGTCCTTAAATCTGTTCTTCACTATCTCCATAAGCAGCCCTCCATGCAACAGCTTTGAGTACTCTGCAGCTTACAGTGGGGGCAACAGAAAATTTGCCTGATTCAGGACTGAGTAAGGAAGGCACCTCTATATTAGGCCCAGGATAGTTCTCCATGAGCAAGTAAAAATGCCAGGGATTCATCTATGCAGTTTCCACAGACTCGTTTCTAGTAAGGCGCTTGGTCCCCAAAAGCTGTGGATACTAGTGGGTTCACAAGAAGCAGGAAGTGCTGTGCTTTGCCAAATTTCTCTCTTTACCTAAGCCTCCTTTGTGCAAGTTGCCCCACAGAGCCCCTCTCAAGAAGCTAAAGAGAGCCAGCACGCTGGGTCACAGTGCCCTGGGCTGCATAGACCTCTCAGTAGCTCCCTCACTGGTTTAGCACAAAGCTTCTCTGCATTACCATTTTTGCAGTAAGACCTGTGGACCCCATGAACAACTTGGTATCCTTTCCATGCTCCAGAGCTAGGATTTCACCAGGTGTTTGTGTCCTGTTGTGGTTGTAAAGAGGGGATTCTAACCTCAGGTGCAAAAACAAAAGTTTTAGTTGAAGTTTTCTGAGGGGAAACTGGTAATTGCCCTCTTATCAGGTAGTAGGGTGGGACCACCAAAGACATTGGGGCAGTTACTATCGTTACAATTTCCACGGGTGCATTCATGTCCCACTAACAGTAGTCAATCTGCTTTAATTTGAAGTTCTGTGAAATGGTGTCTACTCCAGAGATTAGTCGCTGGGCTGGGCCAATCATCGATGTTCTTCTGGATTATGTGGGTAACGTGCAGCTCTGTTCCCGGCTCAAGGAGCATATTGACAGTTATGAGGACTGGGCTGTCATTAAAGAAAAAGCAGGTATGTTCACCCTGGAAAGAATCTGGCACAAATAGTCCTGGTTTTGGATTCAAACCCTTAGTCACCATCTCCAAATTAGTATTCATCTCTTAAACTTGATGGGATTTCTCTACTGAGACTAGATGACATTTTAGACCAGGTATGAAGTACTAGAAATTGTTGGGGTGTCACCTACTCTGTGATGTTAAATGTACACCAGCAGTGGATCTGTCTGGGAATGAGCATTGTCAGTGCAGGAGAGCCATGTGGCTGCATCTGGGGTGCAGTCAGATCAGGGCAGCTGGGCAGCATGACCATCTCCACAGCAACCCAGAAGACATCAGTGCCCTTTAAAGACTTTACTAATATTCTGCTTTCCTAAATGTATTTTCCCTCAGGATCCAAAGTCTTTCATAGGCATTATCAGAATTAGCTTTCTGGCACCAAGCTAAATTTGGTACTTACTACGTTTATTTTGAGTGGGAAGACTGGGTACTGGGAAGCAAATTGTTTAAATCCTCCTAGAAAGCCTATTGCTAAGGCTGAGATGAGATACAGCATGCCATTCTCCAGCCCCACTTCCTTCCCTATGTGTGTCCTATATGCCTCAGTATAGATGAGCTGCCACCAATGCAAGTTATATCATCCCTCCATTATAGAAAAAGCCCCCTTTTTTCATTCCTCCTTCTCCCATTTTGCTCTTGCCACTGACAGCCAAGCCAAGCTGTCTCTCTCAAGTTCAAACCTGTTTGGCTCATGTTTCTGACCTGCCTGTCTTTCAGAGCCCCCACGACCTCTTTCCCATCTTTGCCGCATCAAGGTACGAAGCCTGGTTGGAAGAAACCGCATTAAACTTCTTAACACCTTGCCTCTCCCAGACAGACTGATTCAATACTTACAGCATAATTACACACAGTGACCCAAGGCACACTGGACATACAGCGGCTTCCTGACATGACACCCAGCATCATCAGCATGGCAAGGGCACACATTGTGCATGGTGGGGAGGAATTGCTGCTGGCTTTGTCAATAGCCCTCCAACGACTAATTGAAGACAAATAGGCTTCTGAAGCATGAGTGAGAAGAAAATGATGGAGACAGAGAACTAAACACAGGACCGCTGTTAGGTTTTCCAAGAGAAAACATATGATTCACCTCAAAGCTTGGTTTGTAGAAAAAATGAAAGCCAACACTGAAAAATGAGTAGTGCTGAAGCAAGTATCAGTGAGGAATTCAAAGGTATTCTGGGGTTGTGGTGGAGCTTAGCATCCCTGCTGTAATCCAAATTGAGAAATTGTCAAGATTCAACATATTTGGGAAAACAAACACATTTCCTTCACCAACTGAGATTTTAATTTCAGTTTCTATTCTACTGTTTGGATTTCTGCTAGGTGTGCTGGTTGCTAATTCTCTGATACTTTGATACCATCTTGCTAACAAGCAAAAGCTTTCATTTTCTGGACCTTTCTTATTGAGTACCTGATTTCTGAACATTCAAATCTCAGACTTTAATAGAAATAAAATACAGAAATGCTGATTCCTGTAGAAGTCAAGGAAAGTTTTATTTAAGAAGGATGTAAGAACTGTATTTGCACATAGTGAATACAGTTCATTTTGCATTACATTTGCAGTGAGAAAAAAGCTAAATTCTGCTTGAGAACATTTTCTAGACTGGGGATTTGAAGGCAATTCTGAGTTTCTGATGTTGTTTGTTTTGGGGGGAGCGTGGGATATAAATTAGAAGTGGCTGCGCTGTAAACAGTAGCTTTACTTTGTCATGGAGCTGGTGTCAGGACAGAACAAAGCCCGCGGGGAAGAGGAGCAGAAAGTGATGTGAAGGAGAGAGGTGAGGTATGTAAGGAGATGCAACACTGATAAACCGATTTTATCTGTTCCTTCTCTAGGAGATCTTGCTCCCTACAAGGCCCAGCCTCTGTTACTCCTTGGACCTATGTAGCTATAACAATACCATCACTGGAAGAGATATTATTTCAAAATTATGGAAATCAGACTGAGATTTATGAAAACAAATACCCAGAATTAGGCTTCCAAATCCTTATTCAGGTGCTTAAACAATGTCAAGTTGCTTGTGCCAGGTGTAGTTCCACTAAGCCAATGGGATCACATTTGGTGTCAGATATTACTGAGGCAGAATAAATGTCTTAGGATTTAGCTCTGAATTTCCTGACTTTAGAGGTTTGAAGTATCTATCAGCTCCCTTTGACACTGAAAGTTAGTATCTCAGCTTCTTTGAAAATTAGGTCACCTATTTCCAGCTCAGATCTACAGCTGATTTATGGCAGCTTAACAAGTTACCATCTATCAGCTGAACCACTATAATTGTCCGTGAAATTCTTTTAGTGAAGTTTTTAACAAGTCACATTCCCTCACAGCTGGGGAGGCTGAAAAGCCCATGAACGGTTGGTTATTGGCAGTGACTACAGCTCAGTTGACAGGTGTGACTTGCTGAACTGATTTGATGAGTGCCTTATTTTTAACTAGGCATCTAAATAAGGATGGAAAAACCTACATTTGGAACTACATCTTTGTGGATCTTATGCTAGACACACACTCGTTCTTACCTTAGGTGATTAAGGAGCTGTGCACCATGGTTTATTTGGATTTCCCACCAGAGACCTGAAAGATCTGGTTTTGTTTGTTCGCCTGCATGCCACCCATGGAATCAGATATAAATGTAAGTAGCGAAAATGCATTGCACCGAGTTTTATTTGTGTGGAGTTTTCTACCTTAACACAGGAGTAAAAGTGTGTTGCACAAAACAAGTCTGGGCACACGAGTTCAGATTCTGTGATGGTTTTTTGTGAAATGTGTTCAGCACTTGTAGGACAGGATGTGAGCAGAACTACTGTTTACAGCTGTGGGCACTCTGTCCACAGCTGTCCCCTTCCCAAATGCTAAAGAAGTTGAAAAACCAACAGTTTCAATTCACACTGAACAGTGATCTTCTTACAAAGTTTTGGAAAGTCAGGTGAGATTCCCCCACTGCTGAAATTTTGTCAAGTGCCTTCCATTACTACCAGTTTAAGATCTACCCTTTGCAGTGTGAACAGGGAATTGCCTCAGGTTGGAAAAATACTGGGTAGAGGGAAAGGGATGGAGAACAGGAAATCTTTAGACCAGTTTTGCCAATAAAGGCCCTATAGGACCTGTAGAAAGGGCCTAATAGAAAATTATCTATGGAGTTTGTGCACCTCTCATTTTAGGGGGCTTGAGCAGTGAAGGTCTGGGTCTTACTCATATTGATATAAATCAGAAGAAAATTCCTTGAAATTAAATGAGTATGATAGAGTCATAGAGGGTGATGGATATAGACACACATTGGTGAAGATCATTTACTTCAGTGCTTGTTTAGTGTGCAATGACAGCCCTGGAGGCAGCTGGCTACTAGAAGGATTTGGTCACCAACTGCATATATAACAACAGGGGTGGGATTTCATAACCTATCCCAAAGTGGAAATTCCCCACTGTTATGTACACAAAAGTCTTGTGGATTGCAATGTCTTTTTCTGTCCTTGGAGAAGTTGAGACTGGGTTTGGGTGGAGCAAATATGGAAATTCCATTTCTTCTTTCAACTAAGTGACTTTCATCTCTACTGGGAGACCCATGTCCTGGTTGCCTTTAACCATCTGTACTGATGAGGAGGTTCGCTGAGCTGGAGAGCACTGATCTGATGGGTATGTACCGCAACTGCAGGAAGGAAAAGTGCACAGTGCAAACAGAAGCTGAGGAGAGTTTGTTAGAGGGGGAATCTGGTAATTACAATGTTACTGAATCATTTCTGCTTAATCTTCGCACAACTAGTTTACATTATTTGCACTGAAATGGAGCCTGCTACCTCTCCACTCCGGTCATTGACAGTATTTTGTGTACAATACTGAATCTGCACAAATTCAATGTGCATTTAATGCATCTATCTACATGTTACTGTGAAAAGACAAATACCCCAGAACCCAAATAAACCAGGCTTTGTAAGCAGATCAGTAGTTCTAGTGCAAGGAAAAGTAGCTTGTTTTTACTGAATATGATAGATAGACTCCTTCAGAGATGATGACTTTATGTGAAATGTTCTACAAATATTTCATGACCAGGTTACTGTACATTTTTTACTGTAACATGCAATTCACTTGATGTTCTTGTGCACTTTTTGATTTTTTATTTCATTTTATATGAAAGCTTTTTCATCCACCTCTCCCTTCCCCTTATTTATATAAGGTATTGTGGTTTTAACAGTTTAAATTTTGCATTGTTGTAGTAAATAACAGCTTTTGAATGTTATGTTTCCATCTTTCAAACAAAGTATGAATAAATAAATCGATTCTGAAGGACTATCAGCTGTCCTGAATAGCAACATTGAACAACGAAACACAAAAATAGCCAGGAAAAGTCTGAATCAGTCCAAGCTTGAACACTTAATAATTTTGATGTTTATCTCAAGGATAAGAGAACAGTAAGTATTGCTAGAGAGCAGACAGAGTTGCTATACTTTGCAAACCTTTTGGAAAATCTCACACATCCCCATTCAATAATCTTGAATATACTTAACAATTGTCTTCTGTTCATTTGTGTTTTACTCCATTGCTGCTTCAGTTCAGAGCCCCAGCAAGGGCCACTGCCTGCCCTGGGCTGGGAAGTTCCATGTCACAAAGGATTTTAAAAGCAATATCAGTTTAAATCTGAGGATAAGTGCATAAATATCTCTGTGTCAGAGGTCATTTGGAACAGTCTGGTTCAATGCTTCATCATAACTTAAAAACATGCTATTCTATTACATGGAAAATGTACAGAAACACACATTCAAATAAGAGACAGTTTAAAAAAAAAATAAAAAAAGAACTTAATATCTGAAATGTAGAAATTTGACTTTAACTCTCTTATTTCTATGAATTTCTTCAGAAATAAAATTTCTACAGAGGCTATCCATTTTGCCAAGTATTTTAATTTTGATAGAAATCTATATTCTGGTGCAATATGCAGCACTTTCAAATTTCCCTTCTGAATTCGAGCAGGAACATTTGCCTACAGCAGTCACTGCAATACTCGTGGTTCTTTCCACCAATTTCTCTGGTCACCCAGATGGAAATCCAGATCAACACCAAGAAGGCTCCTCTACATTGACAGCATTGAGACAGAGTTCAGCATCTGACTTCATCTGGATTACAACAGTGACAGAGGACTAATGGTGTGAGAAAGCACCCATATTTCTATGTAAAAGCATTTCCTTGTCTTCAATCCTGCAAATTCAGAAATAGTTCTCCCATTAACTTAAACGAGGGTACTACCTCTGGTTTCTGTTAGAAAGCCTCACGGAGAGAGGCAGTTTCTTCGTGGATTATTTTTTCCCAAACAGAATAAAAGGGAAAGACATCTAAGTGTATTCATATCTTCCTTTCTGGACCAAAAGCTCACCTGATGTCTTGAACCCTTAGATCAGCTCTTTGGCACTTTGCATGCAGTTGCAGGTATGTGCTGCCATTTCCTGCTCTCTCTCCTATGGGAGTAATCTATACAAGCTTGGTACATATATTAAGTGCTGGTGGTAAGCAGAAAGCAATGAAAGCCATATCTATTTCTGCTTTTTGCCTGCTGCACTAACACGTTACAGACATTTTTTTATGTAATTAAACACTAGTGGGTTATACTGTAAGGTTTGCGAAAAGAATTAGCTATTTTTAGCCTAAGAACAGTTCATATCCTAACAGAAGTTGCAACCTGGTTATATAACACCAAGACCCATCAGAAGATCAAAAATTATACTCTACAATTGCTGAAGATGATAAATTTTTCATTACTGCAATGCACTTAAAGGAAGCATTGACTGGTTTTCCCCTTACAGAGATACCAAGGGTCACAGGGAGCTAAATTAGCCAGAGACCAAGCCAAATGAGGCCACTTTTTATTGAATCCTGGGAGAAGTTCCCATTAACTTCAATAAGAGCAGGCCCTCAGAGGTCACAGGTGTCCATTTTTTCCCTCTCCCTCCTCCCCCAACCCTGCAATACACTTCTCTTGACCTCAGTGATTTACCCCAGTATAACTGAATAAATACATAAGGCTGCAATATTAAACCTTTCAGAGCTCATGTTCTGTGCCTTAGCTCCACTTACCCCAGAGTTGAAGAGAAATCTAAGTTTAAAAATATCTCCTATTAACTTCTTTAATGCCAACTTGTTAAAATAATTTGGAAATTACTGGGCAAATAATTTGTAGATAGGTCTTGTGATAGCTTCTTAAAGTCAGGCAAAATAAAAGACATCTGTGAGCCAGAAATCAAAGCAGTGTATTCTATATGCTTTTTTATGCCTATCATATTTTATGGGTTTGTAATCAAGTAATACAATTTTTCATTTGTTCTGTTGATGCAGAACAAATCCTGATGTGAAAATTCATCCTGCTTCCATTTGCACCAGCTTAACACTAGCTAATTACCCAGCCCCAGAAAAATTGCTTTTGATTTATATCACTCTAATAGACAGAGATTTCAGCCCTCTTATCTACCCACCAGTTGCAAATCAAACCTGTGTCCTACCCTGTGGGGCAAAAATAAACACACTGCATCAGCAGAATCTCCAAAATAAAATTACCTCCTTTCTTCCCATATTTTTTTCTTTTAATTCTCTCAGTATTTAAGTGCAAGAAGAGCTTAAATCAATTCACAAGTGTGGTTTCTACATTAAATACCGTCCTTCCAGTGTCTTGCATGCAAAAGGAATTGACCTGAATATCTTGACTTCTCTGGAATTATTTTAAAGTATGAAAACTCTTTGAATGGGTTTAATTCATTTCATTTCACTGCTGTTGCTGCAGGGCAAACCTGGAAAGATCTTCCCACATGGAGGAGGTCTCCTAGGTGTTACAAGTGTGGCTATGAATGACCCACAGCCCTGCTCTCTGCAGCACAGACAATGCCCGTTGATGAAAGAGCTCTGGTTTGCCTCATGTTCCAAGCCACCAGCTTTGTAAGGCTTATTCTCAGTTTACACCTGTATACTGAGAGGAGAGTGGAGCCTGAGTAGCTTTCCAACAGTTACTAATTCACTCCAGCCTGACCACAAGGAAGAGGGTGTGATTGCCAGCCTCCTTCCCCCTGCTGCTTCACGCTGCCAGCAGCTCATGCCTGGTGCCCAGCCGGATGTTTCAATCCACTCTCAGGAGCTGTGGTGCTCAGCGTGACTCCAACACCCCTGGCTAAAGATAGCTGAAAACATTGAAGATGGGTGGGGGTACAGCAGGCTTGGTGGGGATGGGTTTCAAAACCACCGGCCTGTAGAGTTTCTGTCCCATGCCATCGGCCTCCTTGCAGAAATGCGGCACCTCCGCCGACAGTGTGGCGGCACTCTTCCTCCACAGCCCCAGCCCGAGGAAGGGCGACTGGGACAGTGTGCCAGGGGGCTGGTACACCCCTGGCCCAGGGCAGGGGAAGGGGCAGCAGGTCCAGGCACCCACCTGACCTGACAGGACGCCAGCAGGGTCCTTGTCCCCAGCATGTGGGGTAGGCTCAGGGGGACTCTCTGGACCACCAGTGTCAGGGCTCCGTTTGCTTTTCTTCCCCTCAGAGGGAGGAGGGTCTCCGGGGGCTCGGAGCCCCTCGGGGCTGGTGGGATAGGCCCTGGCCAGCAGGCTCTGGGCCGGCTGTGGCTCTTCCCAGAAGGAGGCAGGGAGTTGTCGCTTCCTCATGGGCACCTGGTCTGGTCTGGTGGCTTCAGGGTTTTGCTCCTGCAAAATCCGTTCCTCAGGGAGGCTGTCCTCCCCCGCTGCTGTCTGCAGCACCCTCTCTGCAGCAGCCCCACCATGGGGGCTGGGGTCAGGTGCCTCGGGCAGAGGTCTATGGCCCCTGTCCTCTGCCCCCCTGCGCCAGCCACACTCGGTGGGTTTGCTGGGGTGGCACCGAGGGATCCGGGAGTACTTCTGAGAAAATCGCTTGAGCTGCTTTTGCAAGTATTTCCTGTGGTCAACTGACCGGCGACAGGGAGCTGATTTATCCAGAGCCGCTTTGATGTCACTGGAGGCCAGGTTGACAAAGTTCAGTAGGGTTTTAACCTCGCTGTCTGATGCCATCTCACTGGATGTGCCCTGTAAAGCTTCCCATGAAACGTTCACCTTCAGGCAAACCTTGGCAAACCTGTGAAACACGATGGGCAGACTTAAGAGATCTCGGTTCAAACAGCACCAAACAAACGAAGGGAGGGTGGGGGAACATGTCAAGCTTCTCAGCCGCACAAAGTTGTCCATCATCAAGCTCCCACTGGAGCCTCCTCATGCCTGCAGCCCACCACCCCACACGGCTGCCCCAGAACACACCAGCATGGGATCTAGCTCACAAATGCCTTCCAGCCCGGTGCCTAATCTTGTTAGATAGCGTTTAGGTAGAAAGAAGCTGGGCGGCTACTCCCGCCTCCCTGTAAGCAAGTGTGGACACTCACCCAGCCCGCAGCAGTTTTTCTCACCGGTGCTGGCAGCTGCAGTGTCGCTGCAGAGAAGAGCCCCTTCCCCTTTCCCACTAATCTCGTTAGGCAGGTTACCCACTCCAACCTCGGCAGAGGCAGCCAGGGCCTGCCAGTGTTTGGATGCAGTTTAGCAAGCACTTGAGCAAGCTGAATGAATATCGACTCCGTTGAGTTCGGGGCTCTCCCAGGCCAATCAGAAGCCACTTTGCCAAATACAAAGCATCCCAATCAGGCATCAGCCTCCCCTCCTCGCATTCTTTGCCATCACAAATTGTCACCATGGGGACAGCCACAGAAAGACAGCTAATAAATACAATCATTTCCCTGAGGTTTCTACCATTCTCCCTATCCTCTTCACCCCTACCAAGGCCTTTCTTTTTAAAAAATTACACAATCCAAAGGGAAAATGTTGAGGATGAGTTAGGAAAGTTTAGGCACCCTTTTCTCTGCACTCCCCAAAGCTGTCTGGGGGCTGATACTAACCATGCTTCATTGGCACAGGACAATGTAATACGGGGGACTGGGCTAGCCTACTTTCAAGCGTTCCCCATCACAGCCCTTTTTTTTTTTTTTTTCAAGGGGAGGATGATGTCAGAAAAAGGTAGGGAAGGAACAAATCTCTAAAGAGATGTGCAGATATCCATGGAAAGGGAGCTTGAGCGCTCAAGAATCTTGTCTTTATGTTTGCCCCCTCAATTGAGTTACACAAAAGCTGAATTACCCATTCAAACTACCCGGACAAAAGGATGGAGTTGGATAGTACTCTTGCATCTGTAGTCAAACAGTTAGAGACTTAAATCGAGTCGTCATGATGGAGAAAGAGTTAGACAAAGCCCATAGAATTGCCATCAGCAAACATTTTCCTGTGTCATATTAGTGGGTCTCCATGACTCCCCCTGGCCTGGGGACAATAGCACAAGTTTGCACACTCGACTACTGTCACCCTGCCAACGCTGGCAGGGAGCAGAAACAGGACAATCCTTTAAGGGGAAAGCATGCCCGCTGCAGGGAAGGTAAGAAGAGAGGGAAGAAAAGGCGTGTGAAATGCTAATTGAGCTGCTTCCTTTACTAATACAGAGTTACGTGAGCCCTCCGCCTTCTTGCCGGCTTATCCCTAAGGGGTGGCAATAACTTAATAGCACAGTAAAACTAAGAGCTGGAGGAAGAGGAGAGCAGAAGGGCTGCCCTCAGTGTGCACCAGACATGCTGACTGCCTGTGCGCCAGCCTGGGACCTGCTGCCTTCCATGACTGCAGCATTGCTACTCCTGCTCTCCAGACTGCAGCCCCCTGTGGATGGGAACAGTGGAGAGAGTACAGACCTGTACATGCACTGTCAGGGTGATGCTGGACCAAACATGCATGCCCTAGAGAAAGCAAGGACTGAAGTCCTAGCCATTTTGCAAGTCAAATCCACCTTACTGATATGAGGCATCAAAGACCTGAGGACTGAGGATTGAAAACAGCTACATTTTATGGTTATTTTGCTGTATTTATATTATTCTGATTTTCCTTGGAGAAGGACAAAATCCAGACTGTGCCATTATACCAAACTCTGGGCAAAGGCCTCAAGTATGACTCTTCAGTGTCCCCGTGCTGGTGCACCCAGTGCAGCCATCCCTCTCCTCATAGTTTCTCCCAGTCTTGCCAGAGCCACATGTGCTGGTGCCCAGGCTCAGGTGTTTCAGATCTAGGAAGACCCTGGGGCCAGGACGTCCTGCAGCAGAATGCGCTACAGAGCCTTTGACACCATGGTGGGCTGTAACATGGTGGCTGATTTGCTACTGTAGACATGACTCTCTCTTCCTAGTTTCTACTTCAGAAGCAGTTCATTCCCTAGGAGACCTGGAGCAGCTAGCCTTGCCTGCACACTCTATCATCCACCTCACACCAGCATTCAAATTTCTGTGCAAGCTTCTCCTTTTGGATGATTTGGGGAAGGTGGAGTGGCAATTTCTAGTCACCTACTTGAACATATATTTCAGGATGCACTAGCTGGGATTTGGCCTTTCTGTGACACAGCACAGATCCTTCTGTGCAGCTGAGGCTAAAGGAGAGGTTTTGTTTAGCTCATTGAGAGATGCACACCAGGAGATCACATCTCTGTTTGCAGGAACAAACTGCCTCCTGTGCCTGAGCTTTTGAACCCAACCTGGACACCATGTTGCACAGTTCAGTCTCCCAGTAGAGCTAGCTGGTTGTCCAAGGGATAAGGGGAAAGCGGAGAAACATAGGACAGGCGCCTGGGACCAAAGGATTGTCTCTGGATGTTAATGACCTGTGTTCTCAGAGGCCTGGGAAACTCGTGCCATGTATGTATATATGCATATATGCATACCTCCAGTCACAGGGGCTCAAGACCCCTGGACTGCGCTCTGAAAATGAGGGCTAGTGGGTCAGTTAGACTGAGCAGAGAGTATATGTCTTGCCTGCCTACTGGAGATTAAGTAAAACCCAGCACACCTCTAATACGCCCATTGCAGAAACTGTTTCCAAGCCCCCAAACTCCAGCCTTGCCTGTTCCCTCCTGGAGGAATGCTCACTGAGGCCATGGCTCCTTGGGCACCACATGGGAGTGGTAGAGGGGCTCCCCATGCCCCTCTGTGTTCACTGCTCCAGCAGCCCATTCCCCTGCAACTGGGTAACGGTTGGGAGCCAGAGGGGAATGAATCGGCAAGCAGGATTTAAAAACCAGAGCAGCCCACCCTTTCAAGGTCAGACTCAGGTTGAGCTGCACCGTGTTTCTCTAAGAGACCACCGGAGCCCTTTTGTTCCTCGCTGCTATCTCCATGTTCATCCCAATGTACATGTGAAAGGAACAATTAACAATAGGGCACTCCTCTCCAAGGATCCAATGCACTTTGAAGTGTCCACTAACCAAAGGCTCAAGAATGATACATCATTTTCAACTGTGAACATGTCAAACTAGTACAGCGATTGAAAAAATGTCTCCACATGCCTTCCCAGCATGCAGACAGGGAGCAGCTGGAGAGCCACTTCATATCTGACATGTCAACCCCTGACAGCTGTCTTGGGAATTTTTGGTATGTAAAGTTTTCTAACTCCTGCTTTTTTAAACAAAACACAGGAATAAATCCTTTCACTTCAGAGTTGCATCCAGGCCACTCCTAAACATGCAGTATTTCCTTCAAGACTGAAAAAAAGGAGAGAGAAAAGATTTTTCTTGCACAAAAATACCTGGGAAGTGTTTTTAAAGTGTCACTCATTGAAAGTGATGTCACTCTTTAGATGCTTGCACACCAAGACATCACACAGCTTATTTACAGGCTAAGGGGGTCATTCAGCAAAGGTATTTCAACACCAGACTGGCCTGGAGTATGCAAGCAGACCCACTAACCATAATGCACACTATTAACTGGGAAACGGATCCCTCCACTCTAAGTGCTCTGAGCAGTTCAAATACCATGAACACCCAAATCACTGCTGTTACTTTGTCTGTAAAGCAAAGAGCAACTCAATGAATAGCTGAGTGGTGCAGAGATGGTACAGAGGTCACTGTTTTGACATTAGTTTACTTAAAATTATTTTTCCTCACCTAAAATGGAACTTCTTTTTCATCCTAGCTCGAGCTACAGGTGTTGTCACAGGGTTCATCCTGCTGTCAAGTTATCCACTGTACGTCTTACATGGTACACTTTCTGGGCAGGCCTGGACTGAAATCAGCTCTCAGGGGCTTCTTGTCCACCTTGATTTGGGGTATCTTTTTGTCTGAGGTGCAAATCTGTATGGTAAACACTGTTATCCTCATCTTTTCCTCATGGGTGTTAAAACCAGGCAATCTCCGTTAATTTAAAACAAACAAACAAAAACCCAACAGAGAACGTTTCAAACTTTTACTTGAAAAACAAGACTTCTCAACAATGGTAAAAAGAGGGGAGGGGAGGAGAGACCAAATTACCATTATTTTTTTTTAAATTTCAACTATTTTTCCCCATTTGGGTTACAATCCTGCAACTCCTTGTTAAGCCTAATGAATATGCACTTTGAAGGAAAGAGAAAATGGGGCTCCAATCGCTTTGAAACAAGGTAAGAAAATAAGGTGGAAAATTCCCAGATGGACCATCTGTGAATCATTCCTTTTCTTTACCCATTAAGGGCAGATAAAAGCAAAAGTATTTCAGTTGCACTTTATCTTTTCACTCATCTGCTGTTTCCTAAGCCCCTGCTCTGCCTTCACACTCAGAAAAAGAGGAAGGCTTTTGAGAAGTGCCAGGAGCCTGAAGGGAGGTGATGATGGCTCATGGTGAAACCAGAAGTATTGTTCCAGAAAGGAGAACCACTGGGATGGAGGAAGACTACTAAAGCTCTTCCTCAGGGGTCCTGATTTTTTATTTCTTGTTGACAACAATTGAAGTGGAAGGATGTTAATGATGCCCTGATGGCGTAAAAATGGAAGATGTTATTTAGCATCATATCACAAGAACTGGGCGACCTTAGGAGTGAATGCAATGGCAAAGGAAAGGATTGTAGTAACCATGCTTTGTAGGAGCCACACACCTCCGGCACTGATAGCAGGATTTTCTGCCACAGTAAAGATGTGTCTGGAAATGGGAAGGAAAAACAAGTGGTAGGATGAAAATGAATCCTTGTCCATCCAGTATGACCTTGAAAGGGGGGACACTGAGTTGTTCAGGCCTCCAAACAGGTTGTCAGAATCTGGCCCTAGCCTGGGATGTGAGCCTGTCTATCACAGGACCTGCAGCTCATTTTGAAGGAAAAAAAACCCTCTGTGATACCTTAATAAATATTTCTGGGAATTAAATTAATCTTTGAGAAAACTGATGCGGGAAAAGCTAGCAGCCTGGCTCCCAATCAAAGGACCTGGAAGGTATCCAGGAAGGGCAAATGGTGACCAGGGCTGCAGGCCTGTGGTCCTTGCCGCCAGGCCCCAAGGGATGCCTGACAGTGTGTGCACAAGGGTGCAGCCAAAGCCCTCAGCATCCCTTGCCTCACCCCAGCACACAGGCACTGCACACAACAGCATGGTCATCTCACCCTGGCACTAACCCTCACACAACCTGGTCCTGCCCTTGAGCTGAGTCCTCTAAACTCAGGGAGGGAGGAGGAAGGGAGCATATGGGATTTGTCCACAGACTCATGCTGTCCAGTCATCCCCTTTGCTCTCCTTCCTCATATCCTTGTTGAAGCCAACACCTCTGCTCCCAGGAGAAAAGCAACCTGGCACTCCCACCAGATGAAGCTTTGACTCATTCCACTTCCCCCCCCCCCCTTTTTTTTTTTCCTCTCGACAGTCTGCTTTGACCTAACTGACATCCTCTCCTTGCTTTCAATCCCCGATTTTCTGCACTTGGGGACAGATTTTGAGCAGGCACTAAGTGTTGAGGCCGTGCAGAGGCAGCGAGGGGGGGCTGCTGCTACCCCGCAGCCTGCCATTCAGGCAGATGGTGGAGGAGGCTGATATGAATAGCTCCTGTCAGTCTCATAGAGCGAACTTTACAACTGTGCTACGTGTTGGACTGCACGTGACTAATGCCATTCTTCTGCAGGCTGCAGGCAGGACACAGCTGTTTCTTTAAGGAGAATTTTGTTTTTTCTGCACCAAAAAAAAGCCACCCATGGCAATATCGTATCTATGTACCCAATATTACACTCCATAATTAGGTGTGATCAAAGCCCATGCTGCCTTGCACTGCCTTTCTTTCTGGTAAATCAGATCATGTTTTAAAATGAGCCTGGTGTTGCTTTGGTCCTTCTGGTAATTTAAATCCTGCCTACCCACACAGCAGGTATGCACTGAGAAGCAGCAGGGCCAAATATAGGTTTCTTTACATAATTCTGCAGTAATTAAGTATTTCAAGATCAGTGATGAATTCAGTGCCAAATGCTACCTGGAACTTCTGTTTATGAGAAATAATGCTGCAAAAAGTATTTGAACAATACAGATATGAATAGGAGCATGTGAAAAGGAGAATACTTCTTCAAAGCTGCAAAAGAAGAAATGCACAGTGTGCTCTCAACAGGGCATGAGTCTGGATCTTGATCCTGCAGTACAGAAGAGCCATGCCAGAGCAGAAGGGTAGTGCTCCTCCTGCCCATGTTCTGGCCATACTCATAGCCCTGTTCCCTGCTCCACTCTCTTGGACAGGGCTTCTCCACATCAGTGTTTCTGCAGTGAAAACTGAGATGCTCTCCACCTGGGGTGCAATCAGAAACATATTCCTGTACCTCCTGCACCTGCACTTCCTTACCAGGGGGCATGCCCCTGTCTCACGGCAGGAGGGCAGCCATTGGCAGTGGGACAAGGTGCAAGCAGGGCCAGGCAGTGCTGCCTTCAGCTGGCCCCTCTGCAGCTATCTGGCCATGAAGCTGCAGGCAGGAAGATATCTAGCAAGGCACTGTGTGTGGTTATATCCCTAACATTTCCTTCTGCCTACCCCACCTTCTGCATTTCCAGGCTGCCCATGAGAATTGCTGAAACACAGAGCAGAGCAAGAGTTTTGGTTTGACTGGTGAATTTAGCCGTCTTTGCTGCAGGCAGCAGTTTCTTGAGGAAGTAGAGCCTGTACCAAGTTCAGTGTCATCCCACCATCACAGTTTTGGAAATATCCTTCTCTGAAGTTGTCTTTATGCTTCAAAGAAGTGTGGAAAGCTGACAAGAGCTGCAGCTGAGGGTTACCCTGAGAGCCCCTAGAAGAGTCCCTGGGAGGTGAGTGCTGGGAAATATATTTAAAACAGCATGTTGCACTTGCCAAGCCACTTGAGGATGAGGAGCCTTGCTTTTCTGTAAGGTGGGTGGAGGGAGAAACTTCCTTAGAAGAATCAATGGTTATCATATGACTAGAGAAACAGGCACTTGTCTGCAGTGCTGGCTGCTGCCATCATCTTTGCCCTGATGATGCCCAAACATGTGGCCTTCTGCTGAGCATCTTGAGGCTTAGCCAGTATGCCAGGGTCTCCCCTTCAGCGTGGTGGATTTGATTCACAGGCTGGGCTGACACAGGTAAGTGACCATCACCCTGGGAAAAATGCCTGTCCATCACATACCTCTGCTCCAGAGAATAGCCTCCTCTGTCCATGCGCCTTTCTACGTGGTGCTCTGACAGTATTTGTACCATGGAGCCGCAGAGCAGGAGGGAGGACACTCGCGACGGCAAGATCATGCCGTTCCGGGAAGAGAAGGTAGCCCTGATTCCCAGCCCGGTTTCACATACCGGGGCCGAGGCCACTGCTGCGATGCCGAGACCGGGCCGTGCCGCGGCACTGCCGCTAGAGTGCACTGCGGGGCCCGGCAGGACGGCCCTGCTCTCGCGGCAAGGCACTGCTGCTTGAACGGTGCAGGGTCGGAAAGGCCATTGAGGGCAAAAGAATGATCCTCTGCGCTCAGGACGCCCTGTCTTGAACGAGCTAAAAGGTTCAAAGGTGCCTGAGCAAAGCCCTGAGCAGCCTCAAAGTGCCCTCAGTTACAAAGTGCCCGAGTGTGCTCAGCACCTTCCAGGTGCTCAAGTCCAGCTCTCCAGGACCAATCCTGCATTCATAAAGCATCAGGAAGAGTTTCAGAGGAAATTGGGATTTGCAGTACATATTGCCATGAAGAAACTGAACAACTCACAAAGCCAATATTAAGCAAAGCATCAGTGATCAGAATCAGTCTCTGCTGGAACTCAGGTGTTCACTACAGCAGTTCTGGACTTGTTACTCCTACTGAAGCCAAATTTGAGCTGGACATGGTTTTCTACAGGTGCCAAATTAGGTTGCCCCACAGGTTTTCTGTTAAGAATACAAGGGCTGGGTACATGGAGCAGATGAGCACTCTGCTTGTCTGGGATATCGCAGTGTTTGTGTCCACTGGGATTCTATACGTGGGTGTTGATGGAAGGCAGCAGGGTTTGGTATGTGCTCCTGCAGAATGTAAAGGACTTAGAATAGGATACCAATATGCTGAAGTAAAAAAAAAAAAAAAAAAGAAAAGAAAGAAGGGTGTTTATTGGCCCTAACACAGTCTCTTCAGCCATCTTTTGCAGAGAGAATACTGATAAAGAAACAAAATTAATATTTTATTGTTTATGACAAATACCAATAAGAAAATGTTGTCAAGTTGGGTGGGCAAACCAATATTTGCAAGTCTGATGCCAAGTCTATTGTTTTCTTCTTGCCCCCAGTGGATCTGGTACATAGGAAAGTCTGTCACTGTTGCATAAGTGTGATCTGTGCATCAAGCTGCCATGCATGTGCAGAGCTCTACATGAGAGACAGTGGTATTAGGGAGCCCAGCCTGATCCATCATGGGGACCACAGAAACTAATCCAGATAAATGATATTTTAAAGTAGCACTTCACTTACAAAATTCTATAATCAGTGGCTTATGGTGAATGAAAAGTATTTGTAGCTGTTCTAATAGTAGCATAATGTCTATTATTTGCAGTGCAATTTGCACCTTAGCAACAAAATCTAATAGGCTTTTATATCTGATGAGGCTTTTGTATTATACTTCAAATACTTAGGCAGAATTTGTATTATTTTCTTCATGAGGTATATTGTGGAGCCAGGCTGCAAGGACAGCAGAGAGTGGTACAAGAAATACTTTGTCTCAGCTGTGGCAACCCTCAATTTAGTAATAAGTAAACTAAAAGAAACCAGTGGATTACCAGTTTGCCAGCCCGGCTGGAGCAAAGCTTCGCATCTGCTTATCAGAGAAAGACTCATAGACCATAGAGCCGCCTGCACTGAAAGTAAACGGGAAAAGGAAGAGTCAAAACACAGGTTGCTGTCCTGCTGAAGTTACCTTCCCCACTACAAGCATAACCTTATGTGTGTTGCTATAGGTCCCAGTTCAGGGGAATACATGAGCACAAGCTTATGTGCAACTCTACAGATGTCAATACTGAACTAAAGAGACATTTCATCTCATTCACTAGAGCATTTGTTATCTGAAGGAATGGGAAAATACATCCTGGGTAAGATTGTGCAGTGTGAGACAAGAAGAGGGTGTACTAGAACTGTGTGAAAACAAAGTACCATTTCCTCCCATCTGCTATTTACAACTTTGTTTGGGGCTATTCTGCATGCATAGCAATTTTATTTTGGTGCTAACAAAAGGAAGTCTGCAACTCAGAAAGATCTAGTTGTAATGCTTTCTTAGAAGAGATGAGGTTGATCTGAGGGAGGTAACATAATTCAAAGTGTCATCCATCATGAAAAAATGTTATTTTGTTGAGAAGAATTTGTTTACATTGCTGTTATATTATAGTCACAGCATCTTTTCTTTAAGCCTGAATATATAGTACTGAGCCCATCAAAACAAATGCCCCAGTTCAGTTCTGAAAGCAGCCTGCTTACCTCTGAAGTCTCTCTCCACTGTGGCTGGAAGTCAGGGTGGCCAATTCATTTCGGTGCACTTGAGTACATATGTGCTTGCAGATCTGGGGCCCAGGAGAAAATTCAAGCCAGAGGAAGACACATATAAAATTATATTCTCTCTTGTTTGCTGGTTTGCAGATCACATCAAGTGTTCAGATGCTCTAGTTAGTGCCACGGTGTCTCCATCCAGGGCTGACTATGGGGTCTAAAGCAGAAACAAAGTAGGCAGCTGTTAAGGGCAACACACAGCTGACTGCAGCCAGATGTGGGCCTGGCAGCAGGATCAGCCAAGGTACATGTTTGTGGGGCAGTACAAATTTGATTTTGCTCAGCTTGCTCTTGAATCTCCAGCTGCTCTGCCTGGTTTGCAAACACAGGCGAGGAATGTTCCCGCTGGAGCTAGAAAACATTGCAATAGGGCTGTTCCTGCTGTCCCATTTTATTCACACATTTGATACATAGACAAAAGCCAAGGATTTAGAGATTTCCCAGGAGTGAGACAAATACTCATCCTCAGCCCCCTGAGCCTTCAGATACTGCAATGAAGCTTTTGGTACAAAAACTTTGGTTGCTTTCTCCTCCAAACAGCTCGGCTTTGATAAATGCAGCAAGACTGATCTGTGCTGTGCATCCCTTAACTGAGTTATGATGTATAATCCTCCCTGGAACAGAACATTTACATTCCACTGACCTAGTTGAAAAAATCCATTCATTTTAATTTATGAAAAAATTCTCCCAATAGAAGTGTGGGAGGAGAGATGCTCTGGCTTATTTGCTGTCTTTGCCTGCTTGGAACTAGAAGTGAAGTCCACCTCCTCAATCAGGATTTTTGAAAATGCTGAAGCTTTTCAATGGGTGTCTTGTTCATGTAAATCCAGCTACAGCTTCATTACCTCCCATTTTCGCTCACAGGATCACAAATAAAAAATGTACCATCAACCTGCCCTCAGGGCAGTGGTACAGTTTAACACAAGAGAGAAAGCAAAGATTTCACTCAGACACCTCATTTCAATTCCCCCTGTTGCACACCTCTATGGAGGCTGATGCTACAGAGCACAGGGATTGGGGAACTTTGTTGCTCATGGAGGAGGTTAATGATGCATCTTCCGACATCAGCTGGCCTGAAGAGCACAGAGAGCATTGTTAGCCCATATGCCAGCCCCAGTGCTACAGTGCCCACAAAGGGAAAACAGCCAGTAACCTTTGTGAGAGCTGGTTGTGTAGCCCAAAGTTTGGCTGTAGGTCACTCCATCTGTCTCACTGAGCCAAACATCACAGGTACATTTACAAAAGGGACTGAGTGGAGGGTGGTTTTGTATTTCTTCAGCATGGAAAAACAGATGGAAATATATGATTCTATGATTCTATGTGTCATGTTAGAATTCCCTTTAGTAAAAATTAAATGGTCTCAACTCAGCAATGCTGTTCCTACTCCAGCCAGCCAACCACGTGGGAGGCTGTCAGAGCAAGGAAGTAGTAGGAGCCACCATTATTTTCTCAGTAGACTCTTCAGTTGCTACCAATGTTACTGTAGCGAATGGCACATAGAGCCAGTTCAGGAGGTTTTTGTACCGCAACAGCCTAGGATCAGGGGAGCACAATAATGTCCAAGTCATCTTTTTGTTCCTTTTTTAACTCCTGCAGAAAGAGTAAATTTGGGGCAGGTGGGCATGGCGTCCTTGCCCTGTTCCTGGATACTGAAACCCATCCAGCCTTATTCATGCTGGTAGCCCTGCTGTGGCCTAGGGGACTTCTCTTTCCCTGACCAAAGCAGGAGCTCCATGAGCCTCAGCAACGCCACAGCTCTCTACAGGAGCCTGTATGCAACCGGAGGGGAGATGTTCATATCCAGATTCTGCCATGAGCCCTGGTCTCAGAAACATCATATGCAGCCTATGTTCACACAGTGCTGCTGCACAGCATGTTGTCTCCTGCAGTCCTTCCCAAAAGTTGCCATGTAAACACAGGAACCAGAATTTCAGCAAGCAAGAGATTAAAATAAAAAATAAAACAAACATATGACATACAAAAAAAAAAAAAAAAAGCACACAACAACTGTGTAATTCTTACCTGTCCATATCATACATACCATGTAGTACTCCTGCTCTTTATGGTCTTACACCACTCTCTGGTTCAAAATCATTCCTGTATCAACTCCAGGAATGAAAAACTTCCCTTGTAGGTGCAAGTAAGCATCTGTGTCTAATGGAGATATCACAGGGATAAATTTGATTGCTAATGTGTAAGGGCAAGAACCACTGTGCTTTGAGGAGACCAGTGCCTTTCTCGGTTGTTGGTATTTTCAGCTTACAGTGAAACTCATTTTAGATGGAAAGTATTGTAGGTGTTTTCTTCATTACCAATGGAAATGCAGTGGTGTGTTCTCAGTAAGGCTCTGAATGTGCTTATCTCCAGCTGTTTAAGGACACTTTCATCTTGCTGAAGAAGGGCAATCCCTACACTAGACTGCAGATGCTGAGAGAGATACAGTATTGTAAAATGCAGGTGGCGATTTGTGGCAATAGAGAAATTTTTCTTTTTCTCCTGGAAAAAAAAAAGCAGTCATTTTGCACTTTACCTTATGCAACATGAAAAAGCTATTATGGAAAGTAACCTTTCCCTGTTTTCTAATAAATGGATACCAGGAACATCAGGGGCACAATATCAGGCATTATAAACAATGGAAGGCAAGGAAAGGAGGAGGAATATTGTTCACAAACAGAAGTACCCCATCAGCTCCCCAAACAGTTAAAAAAATTTATTTAGCAGTGAAACCAGCAATATTCACTTCAAATATTAGAACACAATTGTCAGCTTTTCAGGCCTAGATAACTCACAAGCTGTCAGATCTCCTTCCAGACACACAAACACCCCCACAGATTTGTCTTTTCCTGCAGCTGGACTATGGCAAGATATTACAGCAAATGTTGAGAGAGAGATAAATGGCTATGTAATGATACAACTTTTTCTAAGAAGATAGAAAAGAGAAATAAATAAGAAATAACAATGAAACAATGTGCATCTTTGTGCAATTTAAGATTTGGAGGACTGTGGAAGAACAGAAGGAATTTTATATACCATTCTTCCAGGTATGGAAGTGTTGAGAAGAGAGCAGAGTTGTTCACTAGCATGAGGAGCCAACGCGTGGTAAAAGCAGTCAGCAGGTGGGAATATCTTTTCAGCAGAATCTTTATTTTCCATGGAATTTCTCATGATTTTCAGGAATTGATTTACTTGTAGTTTGTAGGGATTTGCTACTATTAGCCTAGTTTGTTTTCAGAATCAGCAACATGTTAAAGACTGTCATTCTGCAGTGACACTCGAAGGGCTAAACTGACAAAAGGATTTCTGACAGGGAAGGCTGTTCCAAGATTTTAAACACACCTGGTATTTTGTGCAATCTAGTGGCAGTGGTGTCAAGATACTCACTAAGAAAAGCAGCACAGATACCTGAGTGTCCCACCTCTATCACCATGTAAGATTGATCCAAATAGAGGTCCACTGTGTCATACCCCAGACTAGATCCTGTTCTCTGTGCAAGGTCTCTACCAGTGTGAGCAACTCAGCATACCAAACTGGAGATGCTGCTAAATGTGTTTTGAATGAACAAACGATAGATCTATCAAGAGTCTGCAAGGCTTAGTATATTAGGTGAATTGGCATGGTATGACCCCAGGACATGTAGGAACAAAAACTGTCCTTGAACAATTTTTGTTGCTTAACATTTACGTGCCACCTTTAGGACAGGCTTGGTTGAATTCTACCACGGATTTCTGGCACGGTAGCCTCATTGTCTTGATGCAGATAGATTAGTTTCTTCCTTCTTTTCCTGCTCTTACTTTAGTTCATATTTATGCAATCATACTGGTCATTCTGGACCGTTTTGGTAACCCTGTTCCAGCTAATGGGTAATTACTGTCAGTTCAGCTGTGTCACATTGTGTCATTTTTGTTTCTTGATTGGGTGAATGCAACCTTTAAATGGGACGTAGCAAGTAATGAATACCCTGTTCATACAGTAGTGTAACTCTTGGTTTTGTGTGTAACTGGCTATGCAAACAAGATTACATCCAGGACAGTACAGCCAGCCACCATGGGGTGAATGCAGCACACCAGCTGCATGGGGAAAAGTGGAGTTTGAAAACATCATTGCAGACCTCATCCAAATGCTCTGAATGAAACACCATCCTTTTAAAAAATGTTTGGAGGAAAACAATCTAACTGGCCCTACAAAATGATTAGCAGTATTATCTGTGTTTTTGTTTTTTTTTCTAACAATGACTTTTTAAAACCTTTTAAACAGCTGTTGTCACCACTGGACTGAGTCTATTTTTGTTGTCTGCATGCCTTTCCCAGGAATAGTTGTTACCAAAAAATGAGTAAAAATAAAGAAAAAAAAATATTAATTGAACAAATTTAACAATTTCAGAAGTTTGGTTGGATTTATTTTTTTTTCTAAAGTTTCTTTTGTGTTGTAATCCACAAGCGTGCATATCAACAACTCAGCATTTTTTTTGCAACTGTAGTACACAGAAGCCTTAACATACCAGGACCTCATTGTCCTTTGCTTTAGTCTTTTGTATGGATTGAGCTTCAATCATGAAAATCTGTTTCTCCAACAGTTATAAAGTAGAGGGTAATTTTTCTAGATGTATCTGAAAAAGTAAGTAAGTAGTGTATGGATCACGAACATGGATGAATCCAGCAGCTTTTGGGGGCTTTCATAAATATTTACAAATGCTCTTTGCAGTGTTCAGGCAGCCGTAATCACCAGTAAAAAAGCTGTATCAGCCCGGTGTTTAGCAACTGTGGTAAGCATTAAGAGTCTGAATGCTTGTTGGCTCTGGAGAGATTGCTTGGTAGTGGGTTAATGATTTGCAGGCAGAAGATTTAGATAATCCATTTCCAAGAAAGCTTGTAAAAAAAATAAGTTCTAATTGTTGTGTATTTGGCAAGAAAGAAGGCTGCACTTTGTTTAGTTTCATCTGCATTTTGCACATCAGAAACTGAATAGCTTTCCCTTAAAAAACTGCCATTTGCCAGACTTCACACTGTTCTGCTTCAGGCTGATGTAAGCAAGGCAGGAGGGTGTAGAAATTAATTTTGTCAGTGCAACTGATAGAGCTGGAAAAAGCAGGTAAGCTTTTGAACATGCAGATCATACTTTAGTCTGGAACAGGCAACAAGCTTCAAGCTGAGTTTAATT